ACAGGAAACCAGAACTTCTTGTTGGGGCTGACATGGGGCTCTGTTAGCTTACATCGGTGGCTGACTGTGACCCAGGACTTTGTGTGGCAGAGTGGATATCAGCCCCAAGTGTACTGACAGGTCTGGTTGCCGGCAGCCCTGCTGACACTGCCCCTCCCCATCTGTTCCCCAATCCTGCCCACTTCCAAGTCCCCTGCAGTACCAGGTGGGGCCCCCGCATGTCACTGAAGAAAGAACAAGAGAAAGAAAGAGAAAAGCTGGATTCTCTTTAGGATGAAAACATAATGGCACTTTTATTCTTCCCCACGGGTGGAGCCCACAGAGGTCAGCCACAAATGGGTTGGTGGCCTTGATGTTCCTACCAAATGTGTTTTGACAGAAAGGCAAAGATTTGTGCTGAACAAAACCTCATCCTGAATGGACACTGGGCCGGGTGCAGCGGCTCATGCCTGTACTCCCAGCACTTTGGGAGGACAGGGTAGGAGGATCACTTGGGCCTAGGAGTTTGAGACCAGCCTAGGTAACATAGTGAAGTGCTGTCTCCACAAAAAATTAAAAATTAGCTGGGCTTGGTAGTGGATGCCTGTAATCCCGCTTCGTGAGAGGCTAAGTAAGGAGGATAGCTTGAGCTGAGGAGTTTGAGGCTGCAGTGAGCTGTGATTGCACCCTGCACTACAGTGTGGGTGACAGAGCAAGACCCTGTCTCAAAAAAAAGAAAAAAGGAACAAGACACTGAAATCAAGTATGACTGTGAGTATCACCCTCATCCCCATTTTACTGATGAGACCAATGAGGCTCAGTCAGGCCTCAGACAAGGAGAAGGTGCCTCATTTGCTGGGGTCATGGGCAGTTCTGGGTGTCGGTAAGACCTTTAGAGAGCATTTTATATTGTTGCAAGCTTGGCCTCTGCAGGATGTCACTGTTGAGAATTGACTTCACCAGCGAGCCCAGCTGGCCCTGAGCCAGGGGAGCCACTGCTGCCCTTTGACACAGATGTCAAGAGGATGACAAGGCCTTTCCAGGAAGACAGGTTTCACCTTTGGTGGTTTGAGGAGGGAGGGTGGAGGGAGAGAGGCAGTCTCTCCCTGCCAGAGAGGGGAGGCTGGGAAAGACGAGAACTGGGAGTGGCAGGGGGGTGGCCTTTCCAGGGAACACAGGGAGAACTTTGACTTCTGTGCACCCTGGGAGCAACAGCTCTGTTCCAGACCCGTGCTTGAATCAGCACTCACCCAGGCATTGTTCATTGTCATTCTGTACAAGGGACTGGTTTTTTGTTTGTTTTTTGAGACAGAGTCTTGCTCTGTTGCCCAGGCTGGAGTGCAGTGGCACGATCTTGGTGCACTGAAACCTCTTGAACCTCCTGGATTCAAGCGATTCTGCTGCCTCAGCCTCCTGAGTAGCTGGGACTACAGGCATGTGCCACCATGCCCAGCTAATTTTTGTATTTTTAGGAGAGATGGGGTTTCACCATGTTGGCCAGGCTGGTTTTGAACTCCTGACCTCAGGTGATCGGCCCACATCAGCCTCCCAAAATGCAGGGATTACAGGCGTGAGCCACTGCGCCTGCCTAGGGATTGTTTATTGTCCTCCTGGGCTTGTGGAAGGCAGTGGGATGCCATGCAGTGGATGGTGATTCCTGCAGGCAAGGCCCTTGTTGGAGAGAGACTGTTTTCTAAACTCCAAGTTTCGGCCACAAAGGCCTTGGCCTGATGGCAGTCGAGGATGGGGGGCGTGGCCTATCGAACCAACGAAGTGCCTGTGGAGCCCAGGTTGGGAGAGAAGTGCATATTCTCTGTGTCCCCCTCTGTCCCTGGTTCTGGGAGGAGACCCTGCTTTCCTGCTTCAGTGCTGCCTGCCTTCCTGTCTTCCTTGGGCAGGTCTTGTTCCCCACCAAGCCTTAGCTTCCTGACTTGAGGTCTCCCAGGCTATGGGGAGGGTACTTGAAGTGAACATATCGGTACATGACGTGGACAGTTGTTGGTGAAAAACGGAAGTGAGGCGGATCTGAATCTCATGAAGGGCTGATTCGTCATCTGCTCACTGGAGCCAGAGGGGTCCCCAGGGCAAACGCTATTCATACTAAAGACTCAGTTCAAGTCATTATTTTAGCTAGCTTGCTAACTGATTTTTCTTTTAAAGAAGTATAATTTACTGTGCAAATAATGCATAATCATTTTGTTGAAAAATTCTATGATATGAATACATCACAAGGAAAAAAGCCTCACAATATAAAATCAGGCCAGGTGCCGTGGCTCACACCTGTAATCCCAGCACTTTGGGAGGCTGAGGCAGGTGGATCACTTGAGATCAGGAGTTCAAGACCAGCCTGGCCAACATGGTAAAACTCCATCTCTACTAAAAATACAAAAAAAAAAAAAAAAAATTAGCTGGACATGGTAGTGCGTGCCTGTAGTTCCCAGCTACTTGGGAGGCTGAGGCAGGAGAATTGCTTGAGCCTGGGAGGCAGAGGTTGCAGTGAGCCAAGATCGCGCCATTGCACGACAGAGTGAGACTCTGTCTCAAAAAAAAGAAAAAGAAAAGGATAACTAAAAGACTCCCATCCTACTCTTCCTATAATCAATATGTGGACTATTTAAGAGATAACCGATATTTTAAGACTATAACCACCACAGTAATAAAGGTCCCATATTTTGAGCTAAGCAGTGTCTCCATTAGTCTTCATAAAAGTTGTCCAAAGTAACCACAGCTGAGAAGTGATGGAGCTAGCTTCCATTCCAGAGCTTTAACTCTAAACAGCTAATCTTTCCTGCTGCTGATTTTATAAGATAGGCTTAATTGTGCCTGTAGTCCCAGCTACTCGAAGGGCTGAAGTGGACCCGTTAAGCTCAGGAGGTCAAACCAGCCTGCACTGTATGGTGAGATCCTGTAGTTTTTTTTTAAAAAGAAAAAAAAGTTGTATTTAAAATGTCAGTGACAGTAAAGAAAACACAAGGAAGAAGCCACTCTCACCCCTTGCCATTCAGCCTGGTTGTTATTTTTGTTCATTCCCAGTGTCTCCCCAACTCCTCCCATCCTGGGGAAGTCCGTGATCACCCTTTTGTTCCTGTTTGTCCAGGGATTTGGGCATCTGCCTCTGGGGGTATTTGGGCTGGTGGTGGCAGTGAAGGCAGTAGTTTTGGTGGTTCTGCCCTAGCTGGGTGGGAAGACAGTGAAACCAGTCCCAGGTTTGACTGTTATTGGATGTTTTACTTGACACAAATCATTTCACTTACCTGAGCCCCAATATGCTGAAAAATCAAATGCAGATAATCCTATGAAGGACCAGAGATTGTTGTGAAAATTACATAAATCTGCACGGTGCCATACCAGTGTGGTGCTATGTAAATTTAGGTCTCATTTTCCCAGGGTAACAATTGGTTTTGTTCAGAGAGGTACAATTCACCAGTTCAAAGAAATGCCGCTGGAGATATTTTGTCCCAGCCTTACCTGGGACAGCTCTGTGACATCCCGTGTCTTGCTTTCTGTCGTGCTCTGTGTGACATCAAGCGAATCACAGCCTTCCCTGGGACTTCAGTGCCCCAGTTTTTGTTATTCTCAAACATGAGTCTGTCCCAAACCAGCAGAGACTGAGGGCCTTGATCGCAGGGCTATAGAATTGGGTTTTATCTGGGAGGCAATGGGGATTCAGGCTAAGGAGTGTGGACATTATCTAGGCAGTGGGGAGCCCCATAAAGCCTTCAAGCAGGGAAGTGACGAGGCCAGATGTGTACTTTGGTAAGCGGCAGGCTGGCAAGGGTGTGGAGGCTGCCTGAGCTGGCTGCACAGCCTAGCCGGAAGGGGTAAATAAGATCAGGGCCTAGTGGAGGAGGGGAGAGGAAGCTGTTCCAGAGAGCAGCTCTGAAAAGCTGGCTGGAAGCTGAGGTTAACACACCCTCTAGCACCTTTGGGGTTTCCCAAGTTGATGTAAAAAGGAAATGATTACTCTTGAGAAGTCAGGGGACTTCTTCAGCCATTCCTGCCTGCCTTTGGCCATGTGATCTCAGCAAGTCATTTAACCTGCTCAGGCCTCAGTTTCCCCACCTCAGAACAGAGATGACATGCAGAGATATTGTGAGGACTCATGTCTGTGCAGCTGGGCCTGGGCCCTGTGCAGCCCGTCCCCAGTGGCCATGGCTGCTGTTTTTGGGATTCCCATCCATGCAAGAGGGAAGGATACACGTGACTCTATCGTGTGGAAGGGAGGCTGCAGGACAGCCAGAACTATTCCTAGGGGCTAGAGTGGGGACTTAGCGAGATGGTGTCTTTGATCTGCTCACATGTTCAGGGAAATATTCAGCCTACAGCACCCTTCCCCATCTCTACCCTCCTTTCCCCTCTCAACAACCCAGCCGGAGGCAAGCGGACACCATTATCATTACCTCCATTTTATAGGTGAGGAAAGGGAGACTGAGAGGAGGATGGTGACTTGTTGGAGGCCACACAGCTGGCTGGGTGGGAAGCTCTGCCCTCGCTGGGACTGCAGTGTGCAGCCATGGCTTTTTTTTTTTTTTTTTTTTTTGAGATGGAGTCTCGCTCTGTCACCCAGGCTGGAGTCCAGTGGTGCCATCTCGGCTTACTGCAACCTCTGCCTCTTGGGTTCAAGTGATTCTCCTGCCTCAGCCTCCTGAGTAGCTGGGATTATAGGCACCTGCCACCACGCCTGGCTAATTTTTGTATTTTTGGTAGAGACGGGGTTTCACCATGTTGGCCAGGCTGGTCTTGAACTTCTGACCTCAGGTGATTGACCCATCTCAGCCTCCCAGAGTGCTAGGATTACAGGTGTGAGCCTGTAATCCCAAATGTGGTGGCGCACCTGGGCCACCACATTTTACAGATGGGGAGGCCAAGGCCAGAGAGAAAAAGACCCTCCCGCCCTATAACACCATGCATTTGTGGCAGAGCCAGAATTAGAACCCAGGCCTCTGACTTCCAGACGCAGTCTCTCAATGGCTACCCTGCTTCATGGAATAGTAATAACATTCTTTCCACCTTGTTTTCAGGGAAACCGGTTCCTGAAATCAGGTGTTCCGTTCCAGCCCTCCCAGACTCTGTGAATCCAGACAGGCCTTTGGCAGCTTCTGTAAGAAAGGCTGAGGATGAACAGGAAGAGGGGCAGCCTGTGAGGAAAGCCACCTTTCCGGGCCCAGGTATTTTAAATTGGATTCAACTTTTTTACTTAAAGCAAATTTATTTGAGGAAATGAAGACATATTTATAAGGATATTCAGCTTAGCATATAAGAACAAAAAATTGAGGCTGGGCATGGTGGCTCTTGCCTGTAATCCCAGCTCTTTGTGAGGCTGGGGTGGGAGGATGGCTTGAGCCCAGGAGTTTGAGACCCACCTAGGCAACCTGGTGAGACTGAACATTTTTTAAAAATTATCCAGGCATGGCGACATGTACCTGCAGTCCCAGCTCTTCTGGAGGCTGAGGTGGGGGGATTGCCTCAGCCCAGGAGTACAGGGCTGTGGTGAGCTGTGATCACACTGCTGCACTTCAGCCTGGGTGACAGTGAGACTGTTCCTAAAGAAAGCAAAAATCTGGCAGCAGCAGTGGCGGATGGCAACACTAATGTCAGAGGGACACAATAAAGTGCTGTCAGTAATGCTGCGGACATGCGTATGCTCATGGAAACATACTCAAATATAGGGAGGTGGAAAAATCAGGTAACAAAACATGCATGACACCTATTACCATTTTTGTGAGCAGAAGAGAAATAAGTCAGTAATTGAAGGCTTTCTAGTGCCAGATACTATTCTAAGTACTGTACTTCAAAGATATTGACTCATTTAATCTTCACTAACTGTGCATTAGGTATTGTGATTATGCCCATTTTACAGAGGAGAAAACTGAAGCACAGAGAGGTTAAACAGCTGGGCTGAGGTCATGTCCTGCCAGGTCCCTGTGTTTCACCCATGGTCTCCCGAGCCCCCTGCACAGGTTGGCCCTGTATGCAGGCTGGGATTGACATCCATCTGGGCTGGATGTCTGACCCTTTCTCTGTCTGTTCTTCATAGGTCCTGGGCCTCGCAGCCATGCAGAGGGGAATTGAAGGGTGCTTCCTGCCCACCACTTTCCTCCCCTCCGTCAGTCACGGGTCTGCTGAAGCCCAGAGAGGGAAAGCAGTTTGCTTAAGGTCACACAAATAGGAAGTAGAGTCTGAGCCGTGTGACTTGAACACTCACCTCCCTAACTGTTGCGCTCACTGCTATCCCAAAGCCTTTCGGGCCATTTCAGATTTGTCTCCCTCCCCTTGTGCCCAGGTGAGGGCTTGGGGACAGTTTCCAAATGACAGAATGGCTCAGCCAGCAGATGACTTCCCCAGGGGAGCTGCTGCTCAGCCCAGTCTCCATTCTCACCGCCTCACCCCTGGAGCCCCGCCTCACTTCCTCTATCCTGTGGCCTCCTGAGTGGTAAGCCGGAGACCCCAAATCCACGTAATCTCAGTTCACCGCTGCCATTCCTGAAGCCAGCATCAGCTGAGAGGAACCTGTTTTGTGGGCTTTTGTATTAGACAGACTCATATTTGAATCCCAATGCTGCTGTTTTGTAGAAGAATTACTTAGCCTTTGCACCTCAGGTTATTCATTTGTAAAAGGGGAAGAATAATAGACCCTATTTCTTCTGATTGTGAGAAATCCTGCCCTGAGTGTTGTACCATGGAGGTGCTCATTAAATATTATCTGCTCTTATGAACATTCCAGACACTCCAGATATGCTGAATCTAGAAAGTTAATTCTAGGCCAAGGAGTCTGGATTATTTCCTGTAGCTAAATAATTATTATTTCAAATAAATTATTATTCATTATTAATAAATGATAATTATTTCCTGTAGCTAAATAATAAAAGCTAAAAAAAGATTTTCTTTTTTTAAGTGTAGACCTTTGATCAGCAATTAAAGATAAGGGGAAATGGTCCTGACCAAGGGGAAAATTATAACAAAATACAGGCATTGTAGGTGCGTGCTGGTCAGGATGGAGGAGGTAGTAGGCATAGCAGCTCCTTCTGATATTCCTTATCTAGGTTACTGTAAAGATAAACGTCACATGCTCTGTCAGCCTTTGCTGTTTACTTTCTTCCCCTTTTTTTTTGAGATAGGCCTTCCTCTGTTGCCCAGGGCAGATCACAGTGGCATGTATAGTCATAGCTCACCTTAGCCTCAACTTCCCTGGCTGAAGCAATCCTTCCACCTCAGTGTCCCAAGTAGCTGGGACTACAGGTGTGCACCACCATGCCCAACTATTTTTTTTTATTTTTGTAGAGATGGGATCTCATTATGTTGCCCAGGCTGGTCTCGAACTCCTAGGCTCAAGCAATTCTCCCACCTTGGCCTCCCAAAGTGTTAGGATTACAGGCGTGAGCCACTGCACAGAGCCCTATTTTCTTTCTTTCTTTTTTGGTGGGGGGATGGAATCTCTGTCACTCAGGCTGGAGTGCAGTGTCACCATCTTGGCTCATTGCAACCTCTGCCTCCCAGGTTCAAGTGATCCTCCTGCCTCAGCATCCCAAGTAGCTGGGACTATAGGCATGCACCACCATGTCTGGCTAATTTTTGTATTGTTTTGTAGAGAGGAGTTTCACCATGTTGCCAAGGCTGGTCTTGAAAGGGCTCAAGCAATCCACCCACCTTGGCCTCCCAAAGTGCTAGGACTGCCGTGTGAACCACTGTGTCCAGCCCGTATTTGCTTTCTTGATGGCGCTTGGAACAGATGTGCCCAGGCAGGTCAAGATGATAACTACAGTCTGCAGACAGAGACAAGAAGTTGATTATCTATCTTTACCTAAACTGAAAATAAGAAATCGTTCATTTCATCAAATCACCCAAAGCTTGTCTCTTTTGGGAAAACCCCAAGGTTCCACTGAGCCCCCAAGTTCAAACTGATCAATTATCTTGAAGGGTTTTGGTAGGAGTGGAGGATGCTGAGCCCACATCTTGACCCCTGTGACACCCTGGCTCCCCCTTGCAGTAGGTGGGAAGGAAATGGGAAGAGACATGGAGGAGGAAAGCGTGAGCACCTCAGCAAAGGAGTCTCGAAGCTAGAATTAAGATAAAAGGATTTTGAGCAGCTGAAATAACTATCACAAAGCCTTAGCTGTAGGAGAGGCCACTGGGCTATCAGTCAGAATCTGTTTCCTTATTCTACACATAGTTTCGCCAGCCTTGGTAAAATACCAAATACTGCATGTGTCACAGCCCGACCTTTGTGCTTTATAAACGTCAGTTCTTTTAACCTGGACAAGGAGCAGATTGTTACTGCTCTTTTTTTTTTTTTTGAGATGAAGTCTCACTCTGTTGCCAGGCTGGAGTGCAATGGTGTGATCTTGGTTTACTGCAACCTCCGCCTCCCGGGTTCAAGCGATTCTCCTGCCACAGCCTCCCATGAAGCTGGGACTACAGGCATGCGCCACCACGCCCAGCTAATTTTTGTATTTTTAGTAGAGACAAGGTTTCACCATATTGGCCAGGATGGTCTTGATCTCTTGACCACCTCAGCCTCCCAAAGTGCTGAGATTACAGGCGTGAGCCACCACATCCGGCCTGTTATTGCTCTTGTTCTTTTTACATTTGAGCAAGCTCAGAGAAGTGAGCCACAGCTCATCTGAAGTCAGATCTTGAGTAATGCTGGAGCCAGTGCTTGAGCCGAATTCTGTCTGATACTAATAAAGGAGACGGGGCAGCTGGGGGTAGACCCGCTGCCAGCAACAGGGCAGGACATAGAAGACCCATGTCAGATATAGTACCGCTGCTTCTGTAGTTCTCGTACTTGCAGTGACACAGCTCAGCAGGACCGGAGGTGGTGCATTCTGCTTGAGAAAGCAGGCATATTAGCCTTGGTAGAAAAGCAAGAAAAAGGCCAAGGCAGGCTGATCACCGAGGTCAGGAGTTCGAAGACCAGCCTGGCCAGCATGGTGAAACCCCATCTCTACTAAAAATACAAAAATTAGCCAGGCATGGTGGCAGGTGCCTATAGTCCCAGCTACTCGGGAGGCTGAGGTAGGAGAATCACTTGAACCCTGGAGGTGGAGGTTGCAGTGAGCCAAGGTGGTGTCACTGCACTCCAGCCTAGGCGACAGTGAGACTCTGTCTCAAAAACAGTTAAACAACAAACAGAATAAAAAAGAAAAGCAAGGAAAGGAAAGCTTTTGGAAGGATTTCCATAGGAAATGTTTTGTTTTTTAGCTGAGTCCTGGTACTTGAAGGGTTAACTCTCAGTGTTTTGGAAACAAGATTATAGAGAAGCCCTAAGCCCCATCCATCACCATTACCCAAGTATCCTATCTTGTTCATCTACTCTCCTGCCCCATCTCCCTCCTCTCCCTTGGCCATTATTTTAAAACATTTTTATATGAAAAAATTACAGACATACAAAAGCCAAGAGCCTAATGACCCTCCATGTCCCCATCAGCTGGCTTCAGCAATGATCCACCCATGGCCAATTTCTGATTACTATGTACTAAATCCAGGGAGATTTTCATATCCTTGATGGCAGGAGAATTCCTTCTCATTCTCCTTTGTCTACCCTTGGACATACAATGGGGGCCTTTAAAGATTATGGTTGTGAGTTTCTCCTACGGAGAGCCAAAGAGCCGATCAGATTAGGTCCCAGAGAAGGGGAGGGGTGAGTAGGGAGAGATGGAGAATAATGGCTGGTGGGTCCTGTCTGATTTTCCAGACCAGCCTCCATTCGTTTTCCCCAAAACCACAGGGATGAATAAACCCAACTAGTAGCCCTCATATGTTGCAAGAGCAGGCCTCAGGGATTCCCCCAAACTGAGAGGCCTGGGGCAGCCTCCGGAGCAAGCCCCAGGCAGTAAGTCAGATAGGAAACTCATGACTTGCGTGAGGTAATCTCTGACCTCAGACTCACTGGGCACAGAAGGACCCTGTGTGCAGTGAGAGCCCGGCCCTGTGGCCAGGCATGGCAGCAGGATGGAACTCAAGTTAGTCTGGAGCAGCGGTTCCCTGAGTGTGCGGCCCACACGCGCAGTGGTTCACGGAACCTGGCTGTCAGCACAAATGTAGATCATGTGTCAAAGAACTAGGGACTTCATAGATATTACTGTTTAACACAAGGCTGAGTACCTAACACTGGAATTAAAGTTGGTTGAAAGAAAACCATCAAGTGACTCATAGTGAGGTGGCACAGACATGGCCAAACACTTGGAGATGGATGTAGAGAGCTGCAGTCTGAGGGATGCGGGCCATGGGTACTGAGCTGAGGCCAAGAGAAGGCAGGGCAAGGGTGGAGGTGGCCATCACAGAGCAGCCCTTCTGCAAGACAGGGGCCCTGTGCTGTCCAGCAGAGGCCTGCATTAGTCCACGTCTGCCTCTTGGTGAGAGGCAGACACCAAAATAGGATTCAACAAGGTAGGATTTCATTAGGACAAATACTTGCAAGAAAATGGAGAGGGAGCTGGGCAAAGCTGGGAGAGCCTTGGGACCATGGTGCATTGTTTTGGAGGAAGGGTGGGTGGGCACTTGCTGGCCTGCCTTTGGTGTAAGGCAGACTCGCCAGGGTGTCCGTTGTCCATCACAGTCCTGTGTGGTCTGCCTGAGTGTCACCTCTGCACACAGTGCCTGGGGAGCAGCCCCTGGAAGCATGATCTGGATGCAGATGCAGGGGTTGATTGGAGCCAGCCATAGTCAGGGCCACAGACTCCCAGCAGCTGGGGGTCTACAGCTCACATTCTCCTGCCTGCTAGACTCGCACAGCAGCAGAGCAAAGATCCCAGGAACAAGGCTGAAGGCAGTCTCTTGACAGGCCCTCGGCCTTCCCTCAATTGATTTCATTTTATCAGCTGTCTGTGTGGGTTCATCATTTAGCCAGGCTGATTTTATTTTCAGTCTTGTGCAACATTTTTTTGTTTGTTTTTTTGAGATGGAGTCTCGCACTGTTGCCCAGGCTGTAGTGCAGTGGCGCGATCTCGGCTCACTGCAGTCTCCACCTCCTGGGTTCAAGCAATTCTCCTGCCTTAGCCTTCCGAGTAGCTGGGACTACAGGCATGCGCCACCACACCCAGCTGATTTTTTTTTTTTTGTATTTTTAGTAGAGACGGGGTTTCACATGTTGGCCAGGATGGTCTCCATCTCCAGACCTTGTGATCCATCTGCCTCGGCCTCCCAAAGTGCTTGGATTACAGGTGTGAGCCACCATGCCCAGCCAAGTTTTTTTTTTTTTTTAATTCCAAGCCTCACTCTATTGCCCAGGCTGGGGTATAGTGGTATGATCTTGGCTCACTGCAACCTCTGCCTACTGGTTTAAGTGATTCTCGTGCCTCAGCCTCCCAAGTAGCTGGGACTACAGGCATGCATCACCAGGCCTGGCTAATTTTTGTATTTTTAGTAGAGACAGGGTTTCACCATGTTGGCCAGGCTGGTCTTGAACTCCTGACCTCAGGTGATCCACCTGCCTTGGCCTCCCAAAGTGCTGCGATTACAGGTGTAAGCCACCATGCCCAGCCCAAAATAAAATTTTTTTTTTGAGACGGACTTTTACCCTAGTTGCCCAGGCTGAAGTGCAATGGTGCGATCTCAGCCCACTGCAACCTCTGCCTCCCGGGTTCAAGCAATTCTCCTGCCTCAGCTTCCCAAGTAGCTGGGATTACAGGCACCTGCCACCACACCTGGCTAATTTTGTATTTTTAGTAGAGGCAGGGTTTCTCCATGTTGATCAGGCTGGTCTTGAACTCCTGACCTCAGGTGATCTGCCTGCCTCAGCCTCCCAAAGTGCTGGGATTACAGTTGTGAGCCACTGTGCTCGGCCAAAATAAAATTTTTAATAGCCAAAGTTCCAGATGAATCACTCCTTTCCTGATGTTGTAAGCCAGAAATACCTGAAACAGGTAGATTTATCTAGCAATCCTGGGGTCAAGACCAGGTTCCTTTGGAAGGGTCAGGTCCCCAGTTACTCAGAAGCTATCCTTGCCATGGGGCTCCCTGAGTATTTCCAGATGGTGACGTTTGAAGCATCTGGCCTCTGGCCAAGGCCTGCTTCTGTGCAGACCAGCCATCATGGCTCACCTTGTCTACAGCCTGTATCTGTGCTCACCCAGGAGCCCTCCCTACCCCCACTGATGGCCTCTTTAGTCTTCGGATTCCATGTGGGGCCCAGTGAAGAAATTTCACCCTCTTTAACCTCACGTTCACCTGACCCTAAACTACTTGTCAAGCCTTCTGTCTTGTGACTCTTGTTCACTTACTAAGGGATTAAGAACACAGATGCTAGAACCACTGACTATGTGTCCTTGGAAAAGTTACTTAACCTCTCCATGCTTTACTTCACCATCTGCAAAGAGGCAATGAAAATGGTACAGTGGTACTTTATCTCCTGATTGGTGTGAGGATTCGATGAGGTAATGCAGGTGAAGCTTTTTGTTTTGAGACAAGGTCTCATTCTGTCTCCTAGGCTGGAGTGCAGTGGTGTGATCACGGCTCACTACAGCCCTCACCTCTTGGGTACAAGTCATCCTCAGCCTCCCAAGTAGGGGGGACCACAGGTGTGCACCACCATACCTGGCTATTTAAGAAAAATCTTTTGTAGAAACGGGATCTTGTCATGTTGCCCAAGCTGATCTCAAACTCCTGGGCTGAAGCAATCCTCCTGCCTCGGCCTCCCAAAGTACTGGGATTACAGACATGAAGTATTTAAAGCAGTGACTGGCATGGTGTTTGCTAATTAATGTACGTAGACATTAACTTGCTACAGCCCTGGGCCCTTCTACTGCCCTACCTCTGCATGGGCTGGTTCCACTGCCCCATATCTACTTGTTGAAAATGTTTCGCCATCTTTCAAGCCCAGGTCAGGTGCCGCTTCCTCTGTGAGCCCTCCTCATCTCCCAGCCTGTTATGGTCTCTCCTGCTTCTGATCTCGCTTTCCCGTGGGATGTATCCTGGGAAATGGTTATTGAATCATTGGTGGAGGTTTCTGGAAGACAGGCTCGGTGGCTAGTTCACCTCCGTGTCTTTCTCTGCTCTGTGAGTAGGAGGTGAGATAGTGCAGGGCCTAGAAGTCAATCAGATTTCCATCTGAATTTCAGTGCTGTCATCTACTGGCTGGGTGGTCCTGAGCACTGCATCCATCTCTGGTGCCTCTGTGTCTCCACTTGTCAAATGGGATGATAAATAGGCCCCAGTCATAGGGGAATCAGAGGCTTATCCTGAGGTGACGTTTGAGGAGTGTGTGGCCGGCACGTGGTGGGCGTTAGGAACTGGCAGCAACAAATGTTTGGGGAGTGAACAGGACATTGGCATGGTCTGAGAGCTAGACCAGGATCCCTCGTCTCTTCCTCCCCCAGGCTGCGTCCTGACCCGCAGTCCCTCCTTTCCAGGGTCCTCTCCAGACAGAGCCTACCGGCAGGCCTTCCTCCAACCTCCTGAAGACGATGCTCCTCATTCCTTAAGAACCAACCTCCCCACTTCATCTGATTCACAGGTAAATCCATGCCTCAGTTGCTATACCCAAGCCATGGCTCCCAGTGTGTGGTTCCCTCTAAAAATGCAATTTCTCCCTTTTTAAAAAATTTTAATTGTGTTTGGGCTCCAGAGTACATGTGCACATCCTGTATCCTGCAGGACTGTTGCTTAGGCATATACATGCCATGGTGGTGTGCTGTCTCCATCTCTCCCACCCCCTGCCCTGTTGCCTACATCAGGCATTTCTCCTAGTGTTATCCCTCCCCATCCTCTCTGCCCCCCCTCGCTGTCCCTCCCCCCCCCCCCCCTACCTAGCCCTGTGAGTATTTTTCCCTTCCCTGTGCCCAGGTGTTCTCATTGTTCATCACCTGCCTATGAGTGAAAACGTGGTATTTGATTTCCTGTTCTTGTGTCAGTTTGCTGAGAATGATGGTTTCTAGATTCATCCATGTCTCTACAAAGGGACCATAAAAAAAGAACTCATCATTTTTTATGGCTGCACAGTATTCCATGGTGTATATGTGCCACATTTTTTTTTGTCCAATCTATCGTCGATGAGCATTTGGGTTGGTTCCAGGTCTTTGCTATCGTAAACAGCACTGCAGTGAACATATGTGTGCATGTGTCTTTATGATAGAACGATTTATAATCCTTTGGGTATATACCTAGTAATGGGATTGACAGGTCAAATGGAATTTCTATTTCTAGATCCTTGAGGAATCACCACACAGTCTTCCATAATGGTTGAACTAATTTACACTCCCACCAACAGTGTAAAAGTGTTCCTATTTCTCTGCATCCTCTCCAGCATCTGTTGTCTCCAGATTTTTTAATGATCGCTATTCTAACTGGAGTGAGATGGTATCTCAATGTGGTTTTGATTGCATTTCTCTAATGACCAATGATGATGAGCATTTTTTCATATATTTGTTGGCCACATATTTGTCTTCTTTTGAAAAGTGTCTGTTCATATCCTTCACCCACTTTTGAATGGGTTCGCTTTTTTCTTGTAAATCTGCTTTAGTTCTTTGTAGATTTCTGGATATTAGCCCTTTGTCTGATCCTTGAGACCGGTTTGAGGGTGGGGAGGAGAAAGGAAATTACCACCAAATTACCCCAAGCTTCTAAGACTATAAGTAGAGGAGGTCAAAAATAGCAGGGAGAGGGGGGAAGGGCACTTCAGTGAGTACACTTTTTGCTTTTTAATTTATGATTATTATTTTTCTGAGATGGAGTCTTACTCTGTCGCCAGGCTGGAGTGCAGTGGTATGATCTTGGCTTACTGCAACCTCCGCCTCCTGGGTTCAAGGAGGCGGGATTCTCCTGCCTCAGTCTCCTGAGTAGCTGGGATTACAGGAGCCCACCACCATGCCCAGTTATTTTTTTTTTTTTTTTGTATTTTTAGTAGAGATGCGGTCTCACCATGTTGGCCAGCCTGGTCTCAAATTCCTGACCTCAAGTGATCTGCCCGCCTCGGCCTCCCAAAGTGCTGGGAGTACAGGGATTACAGTGAGCCACTGCTCCTGGCCATTATTTTATTTTATTTTTGACCTGTTGTCCCAGTTACTTGGGAGGCTGAGGCGGGGTAGCAGGGTGGCTTCAGCCCAGGAGGCAGAAGTTGCAGTAAGCCTTGTTCCTGCCACCACAATCCACCCTGGGTGACAGAGTGAGACCCTGTCTCCAAAAAAAAAAAAGAAAAGAAAAAATATTTCACTGCACCTGGTCATTATTTTATTTTATTTTTGACCTGTGGTCCCAGCTACTTGGGAGGCTGGAGTGGAGGATGGCTTCAGCCCAGGAGGCAGAAGTTGTAGTGAGCCGTGATCCTGCCACCACACTCCACCCTGGGTGACAGAGTGAGATCCTGTCTCAAAAAAATAAAAAAATAAATAAAAAATAATTTATGACCATATTGGCATGAAGATAAATAAAATCCAAGTTGGATTTAAAATGAGAACAATTTCTTAGACTCTAAAAGTTATTTTTTTCTGATTTTAAAATAAATTAAAATGTTTTCATGGCCCCTAAAAGTGTTGTGAGTCTGAGACCCTTTGTATCCAGTGTCTGGGGGAGAAGCCAGCTTTGCATGAGTGTGGTTAATGAAGCTCTTCCATGTCCCAGGTGTGGTGTCACATGCCTACAGTCCTGGCTACCTGGGAGGTTGAGGTGGGAGGATCACTTGAGTCCAGAACTTGGAGACCAGCCTAGGCAACATAGAAAGGCCCCATCTCTAAAAAATAAATAGATCATCTTCCATGAAGGATAATCCCAGCACTTTGGGAGGTTGAGGTGGGAGGATCACTTGAGCCCAGGAGTCTGAGGCCAACCTGGGCAATGGTGTGAGATCCTGTCTCTACAGAAAAGTTTTTTTTTTTTTTGAGAAGGAGTCTTGCTCTGTTGACCAGGCTGGAGTGCGGTGGCGCAATCTTGGTCACTGCAACCTCCATCTCCCAGGTTCAGGTGATTCTCCTGCCTCAGCCTCCTGAGTAGGTGGGATTACAGGCACATGCCAGTACGCCCGGCTAATTTTTTTTGTATGTTTAGTGGGACTACAAGTGCATACCACCATGCCTGGCTAATTATTGTATTTTTAGTAGAGACGAGGTTTTGCCATGTTGGCCAGGCTGGTCTCCAACTCCTGGCCTCATGTGATCCACCTGCCTCAGCCTCCCGAAGTGCTGAGATTATAGGCATGAGCCACCACACCTGGCCAAAAAGGTTTTTTTGAGACAGAGTCTCCCTCTATTGCCCAGGCTATCTTGGCTCACTGCAACCTCCGCTTCCCTGGTTTAAGCAATTTTCCTGCCTCCACCTCCTGAGGAGCTGGGATTACAGGTGTGTGCCACCATGCCTAGCTAATTTTTGTATTTTTCGTAGAGACGGGGTTTCACCATGTTGGCCAGGCTGGTATTGAACTCCTGGTTGAAGACGATCAACCCGCCCTGGCCTCCCACCATGGCAGGATTATAGGCGTGAGCCACTGTGCCTGGCCTCTACAAAAAGTTAAAAAATTATCCAGGCATGGTGGCACATGCCTGTAGTCCCAGCTACTTGGGGAGGCTGAGATGAAAGGATCTCTTGAGCCTGGGAGTGCTGCGGTGAGCTGTCGTCATGCCACTGCATTCCAGCCTTGGAGTCGAAATGAGACCCTGTCTCAAAAAGAAATCAATACTATGTGTGTGGCATGATCCCAGTTTTTAAAAATAAATCCTTATATATCTAATTGGCCAGAAATACACTAAATTTTAATAGCAGTTAAGTGGATAATAGGATTATGGATACTAATTTTCAAAAACTGTTAAGAGCATATGTAACTTTAAAAAATTTAAATGTAAGTACATCTGGTTTAAAGAGAGACATTATTAAAAAGAGAAGTAGAACTTCTTTTTTATTTTATTTTTATTATTTTATTTTTTTTTCGGAGAGGTGTCTTGCTCTCTCGCCCAGAGCTGGAGTGCAATGGTGCGATCTCAGCTCCCTGTAACCTGTGCCTCCCAGGTTCAGGTGATTCTCCCGCCTCAGCCTCTCCAGTAGCTGGGACTATAAGTGCATACCACCATGCCCAGCTAATTTTTGTATTTTTGGTAGAGACAGGGTTTCACCATGTTGGCCAGGCTGGTCTCCACCTGCTGACCTCGTGATCCACCTGCCTTGGCCTCCCAGAGTGCTGGGATTACAGGCGTGAGCCACCGTGCCCGGCCCAGAACTTCTTTTTATAGGCTTATATACACATGCAGTCTCTGCAGTTCTGTTTAGAGCAAACTTGTCCAACTCCTGGCCCATCGGCTGCATGCAGCCCAGGATGGCTTTGAATGTGGCCCAACACAAATTTGTAGTTTCTTAAAACATTATGAGTTTTTTTGAGATTTTTTTTAAAGCTCATCAACTGTCATTAGCGTTAGTGTATTTTATGTGTGACCCAAGACAATTCTTCTTCCAGTGTGGTCCAGGGAAGCCAAAAGATTGGACACTCCTGGTTTAGAGAATCATGTTTGGTTATATGAACTTGTATCCTAGTTCCCAGGAGTCTGGAACCCAGTATCTAGTCTGTGGATCAGGCCAAGGACACTGAGCTCGCCCACTGACCAGCTGTGTGACCTCCCTTCAGCTGTTTATTTCCTTGGTGCTCACTTCTGTAAACTGAAGTAAAGGAAACACCAACCACTTGCTAAGAGTACTCACATCTCAGCCTTCACAATTACTCTTGCGGCTATTACTGTTATCTTCATTTCTGCTGCTGGAGAAAAACTGAGGCTCAGAGAGGTTAAGTCACTCACCCAAAGTCACAGAGCAAGACAGAGATGGAGCTGGGATTTGAGCTTGGGCCTATCCAGATCTTTTTTACAGTTTCCATTGGATAAGTTGATCCCCTCCACCCCTTCAGCTCTAGTGTTCCAAGATCCCTTGAGGTAGCAGAGAAAACCAGATTCCATAGTCATCTCCATCTCTTCTCTCTGAGTCTCCAGGACTTCAGCACCTCCGTTCCTAAACAGGAAAAACTTTTGAGCTTGGCTGGAGATAGCCTCTTCTGGAGCGAGGCAGACGTGGTCCAGGCAACTGATGACTTCAATCAAAACCACAAAATCAGCCAGGGGACCTTTGCTGATGTCTACAGAGGGCACAGGCATGGGACGCCGCTCGTCTTCAAGAAGCTCAGAGAGGTGAGCGCTTCTTGGTTTCTAGTTGGGGTGGAGGCTGCAGGGCTAAGGTGGGATATTCATGCTTCGATGTCTTTCTCCACAGACAGCCTGCTCAAGTCCAGGATCAATTGAAAGATTCTTCCAGGCAGAGCTGCAAATTTGTCTTAGGTAAGCTTCCCCTCTGAAAAATGCTTTGTTTAGTAATAATGATAGGTAACCCTTATATAGTGCTTCCTGTGTGCCAGGCATGTTTTAAACACTCTATCACATATAAACTCATTTAGTCCTTACAAGAACCCTATAAATGTAGCTACTATTATCACATTATTTTACAGATGGGTAAACTGAGGCACAGAGGGGTTAAATGTCTCATCCAAGGTCACACAGCTAATAAGTGGCAGAGCCAAAATTTGGATCTATCTGGTTTGGCTCCAGAGTCCATTCTTCTCCTGTGTAGTGATTCCATGCACAGGTGAGAATTATAAAGGAAGCTTGGCTCACTCCAACTCCTTCCTTCCACACGGGAAGAAATCTGCCTCTCTCCTTTTTTGTTTTGTTTTGTTTTGTTTTGAGACTGAGTCTTGCTCTGTCACCCAGGCTGGAGTGCAGTGGTGCGATCTCAGCTCACTGCAAACTCTGCCTCCTGGGTTCAAGTGATCCTCATGCCTCAGCCTCCTGAGTAGCTGGTACTACAGGCGTGTGCCACCACACCTGGCTAATTTTTGTATTTTTGGTAGAGACGGGGTTTTGCCATGTTGGCCAGATGGTCTCAAACTCCTGAACTCAAGTGATCTTCCTGCTTTGGCCTCTCAAAGTGCTGGGATTACAGACATGAGCCACCTTGCGTGACTTTTTTTTTCTTTTCTTTTTTTTCTTGCTCTATTGCCCAGGCTAAAATGGCTTTGGAATGACTGCAGCCCACGGCAGCTTTGAACTCTTGGGCTTGTGATCCTCCCACCTCAGCCTCTGAGTTGCTGGGACTACAGGTGTGCACCACTGCACCCAGCCAATTTAACCTTTTTTTTTTTTTTTTTGTGGAGATGGGGATCTCGCTATGTTGACCAGGCTGGTCTTGAACTCCTGGGCTCAAGTGATCCTCCTGCCTCGGCCTCCCAAAATGCTAGGATTATAGGTGTGAGCCACTGTGCCCAGCTATGTGTGTGCTTTTTTTAAAAAAAAATATTTTTCGCTGGGCGCAGTGGCTCAAGCCTGTAATCCCAGCACTTTGGGAGGCCGAGGCGGGTGGATCACGAGGTCAAGAGATCGAGACCATCCTGGTCAACATGGTGAAACCCCGTCTCTACCAAAAATACAAAAAATTAGCTGGGCATGGTGGTGCGTGCCTGTAATCCCAGCTACTCAGGAGGCTGAGGCAGGAGAATTGCCTGAACCCAGGAGGCGGAGGTTGCGGTGAGTGGAGATCGCGCCATTGCACTCCAGCCTGGGTAACATGAGTGAAACTCCGTCTCAAAAAAAAAAAAAAAAAAAATATTTTCATCTGAAAATAATTCACTTGCACCTTATATTATAGTGTATTTCAAGAAATAAAGAAGGCCAGGGGTGGTGGCTTATGCCTGTTAATACCAGCAGTTTGGGAGGCAGAGGCAGGAGGATCACCTGAGGTCAGGAGTTCAAGACCAGCCTGACCAACATGGTGAAACCCCATCTCTACTAAAAATACAAAATTAGCCTGATGTGGTGGTGCATACCTATAATCCCAGCTACTCAGGAGGCTGAGGCAGGAGAATCACTTGAACCCTGGAGGTGGAGGTTGCAGTGAGCTGAAATGGCACCATTGCACTCCAGCCTGGACAACAAGAGTGAAACTCTATCTCAAAAAAAAAAAAAAAAAAAGGAAAATTGAATACCTGTTCGTTTAGGAACCAGTGTTAAAGAATAAAGAAAATTGACTGGGCACAGTGGTTCGTGTCTGTAATCCTAGAACTTTGACACTGAGGTGAGAGGATTGCTTGAGTCCAGGAGTTTGAGACCAGCTTGGGCAACATAGTGAGACCCTGTCTTAGCTGAAAAAAATATATATACAACAAAATTTTTTTGGCTGGGTACAGTGGCTTACACTCATAACTTTGAGAGGCATTTTGAGAGGCTGAGGTGGGTGGGTCACTTAAACCCAGGAGTTTGAGATCAGCTTGGGTAACTTGGCAAAACCCTATCTCTACAAAAAATACAAAAATTAGCTGGGTGTGGTGGTACATGCCTGCAGTCCCAGCTTTCCGGGCAGCTGAGGTAGGAGGCTCACTTGAGCCCAGGAGGGGAAAGTTGCAGTGAGCAAGATCACGACACTCTACTCCAGCCTGGGCAACAAAATGAGTCCCTGTCTCAAAAATGAATAAAGGCCGGGTGTGGTGGCTCACACCTCTAATACCAGCACTTCAGGAGGCCAAGGTGGGAAGGTTAGTTGAGGTCAGGAGTCTGAGACCAGCCTGGCCAACGTGGCGAAACCTCGTCTCTACTAAAAAAAAAAAATACAAAAATTAGACCTGGCATGCTGGCATGTGCTGATAGGCCCAGCTACTCAGGAGACTGAGGCACAAGAATGGCTCGAGCCCAGGAAGTGGAGGTTGCAGTGAGCCCAGATCGCGCCACTGTACTCCAGCCTGGGCGACACAGTAAGACTCTGACTCAAAAATAAATAAATAAATAAACAAATGTTTTAAAAAGTAAAACAAATTTAAAAAGGAAGAAAGAAAATTATAAATAAGAAAATAGAAACTATGTGTTTTCCACAGCGCCTGTAAATAAGCACTACTATTTTAATATTTTCTTATATTTTCTTTTTTAATTGTTAAAACTTTTTTGTAGAGACAGGATCTCACTATATTGCCCAGGCCGGTTTTGAACTCCCTGGCTCAAGTGATCCTCCTGCCTAGGCCTCTGAAAATGTTGGGGTTTTGGGAGCCACTGTTCCAGGCCCATATTTTGATATGTTTTCTCTAATGCTTTCTCTATTCATACATGTATATGAATACTCACATATACACACACACACACACACACACACACACATCTAATAAAAACCGAAGTGTGATTCCCTTTCTACTGTGACTTAGTGCCCTCATGGAGATGGCAGTCACTCCTTAATTCATTGAATCAGAAAATGTCAAGCCCTTTCCTAGGCTCCAAGGAGTGTAGGCTGGACGCATACATAGTCCCTGCCTTGGGGTTTATGGTCCAGTGGGGAGACTGACATGTAAGTAACTGCAGTGAGTGTGCAAAAGCAAGTAAATAGGATGGCTTGGGGGAAACAGAGGAGGGCGGAGAGATAAGGCAAGAGGCCACTTACAATAGTCTTGGGGAGATTGAATCAAACACTGACCCAATCTAAGTGACCCAAGGCAGAGGAGAGGGGAATAAGGGGACATTTAAAAAGTTATGTATGGCAGTGAATGGTGACTGATTCGATACAGGAGATAAGAAGGTTTCTAGGATACTGGGTGGGTGGTGATGTGCTTTTCTGGGATAATAAATATGGGTGAAGAAGCAGGTTTGGGACTTGTTGAGGCTAGAATGATGTTGACCTGAGCATCAGAATGCAAGCTGACATTCAGGTCTGGAGCTTAGGATGGGGCTGGAGATAAGAGATTTGGGAAAGTTCCTCATAGCAATGAGAGGTACCTGGTGGAGTAACATACAAAACAAGATGAGGAGTCCAGCTGGCAGCAAGAGGAAGGCAAAGGAGGGGAGTCTTAGTGAAAAGGGCCAAGAAAGAGTGGTCAGAGAGGTAGAAGGAGAGTCAGGAGAGAATGGTGACTGAGATCCCAGTGGAAGAGGATTTCAGGGAAGAACACCAGTGCCAGAGTCAGACAGATGTGGATCTGGTCCTGGCTTCACTGCTTGCTAGTTTGTGACCTTGGGCAAGTCCCTTAACCTCTCAGTATGTTTCTGGAGATGGGACGGTTAAAGAGTCACGTGCTGCAGAGCAGTAAGGCAGGATGAGGACCACCACACTCCTTGAAGGCAGGCAGTTTTCATCTTTTTACCCTGGGGCCAGGCCCTTAGGGGTCAAAGCATGTGATACCTGGGAGGTTACTGGTGGCCTTGGAGGAGGAGAGGGCAGAAGAGGGGTGGTACATGAGGAAACAGATCATTCTTTCCATCTGACTCTCACCCCTGCACTGATGCCCAATTCCAGATGCTGCCACCCCAATATCTTACCTGTGCTGGGCTTCTGTGCTGCAAGACAGTTTCACAGCTTCATCTACCCCTACATGGCAAATGGTTCCCTACAGGACAGACTGCAGGGTCAGGTAAGCTACTGGTTCATGGTCAGAGAATGGGACCAGGCTGCACCCAGCCATGGAGTCAAGCGTGTTAAGGACTTATGGAAGTTCAGAGGGGAGAGGGGCCATCTAGGTGAGACCAGGGAGGCTTTAAGGAGAGAAGCGGGGCCAGGATACATAAGATCTGGTTAAATGCTCACTTGAGCAGCACATACTATACCAAAATTGGAACAATACAGAGAAGATCAGCCTAACCCCTGAACAAGGATGACAACATATAAAAAGAAAGAGAAATGCACAAAAAGATCTGATTAAACATCTTCAGGAAAAAAATCTATTAAAAAATTATTTGATGAGAGGCATTTCATTCAAATCAGAAGCAAGACAAAGGTATCTCATAGAACTAACTTTGTTCTTCGTGGTTCTGGAGGTGTTAGCCAGTGCAGTAGGACAAGAAAAATAATTAAGAGAGTAGAGAGTAAGGAAAAGTGGAGGTGAATTTTTATTATAAAATGTTCTTCTAATATATACATATTTGCTTGTGTGTTTATGGAATATCTCTGGAAAGATACATAAGAAACTGGTTCACTGGCTGCTGCTAGGGAGAACTAGATGGCTGGGGCCCAGGATAAGAAGCAAACTTACTATTAGAGTATTATATCATGTCAAGGTAATCCTTAATACAAATTACAGTGTTTCAAAATAGGCCTTCTGTTTATCATATCCTCAAACAGAGGGAAAAGAATTATTCCATAACAGAATTATTGCTTCTCATGGCAGGACCAGACAAAGCAGTTATTCATGGCATACTTAATGATTGTTAGCTTCTCTGAGTACTCATTGTGTGCAGGCTGCCATGATACGGGTTTTACACAGGTCATCTCCTCCAGGCCGTGCCATAACCAATGCAGTTTCTTGCCCCATTTTTCAAAAGAGGAATCTATGACACATAGAGACAAAATGGCTTTCCCAAAGGAACACAGTGGACAAATGTCAGGCCAGGGCTTACACTGGGTTTGTCTGGCTCTAGGTTTTAGAGTTTTTGAGAAGAAATTAGCAGGGATTGTCCAGGCAAGTTCTTAGAGGATGTGTGACGTACGCCAACGCTTAAAAAATAGGTGAAGAGGCCAGGCGTGGTGGCTCACGCCTCTAATCTCAGCACTTTGGGAGGCCAAGGTGGGTGGATCACTTGAGGTCAGAAGTTCGAGACCAACCTGACCAATATGGTAAAACCCTGTCTCTACTAAAAATATAAAACTTAGCCAGGTGTGATGGCACATGCCTGTAGTAGAGCTACTCAGGAGGCTGAGACAGGAGAATCACTTGAACCCAGGAGGCAGAGGTCGCAGTGAGCTGAGATCGCACCACTGCACTCCAGCCTGGGTGACAGAAAGAGACTCTGTTTTAAAAAAAAAATGGTGATGATTTAGCCTGGGAGAATCAGCCTTAGAACAACAGTAGGAGCAAATGAGAGGTGTTAGCCCACCCCAACCAGCCTCTTGATAAAAATAACTGTTGATTGAGCACCTAACGTGTGGCAGGTGCTATGCTAGGGGTATCCCATATACTCCTGTGAATCCTTACAGCGACCCTAAAATGTAGGTATTAACATTTCCATTTTAAACCCAAGGAAACTGAGGCTCAGAGATGTTAAGTCTCTTTTCCCAAAATTAACACAGCTAGTGCATGTCTGAATTGGTAGTTACACCTAGATATATCTGATGTCAAAGCCCATAGAATAGGGCCAGGCCCATGACTCATGCCTGTAATCCCAGCACTTTGGGAGGCCAAGGTGGGTGAATCACTTGAGCCCAGGCGTTCCAGACCAACCTGACCAATATGGCGAAACCCTGTCTCCATGACAGATACAAAAATTAGTTGGGAGTGATGGCATGCGCCTGTGGTCCCAGCTCCTCAGGAGTCTGAGGTGGGAGGGTCACTTGAGCTTAGGATTTTAAGGCTACAGTGAGGTATAATGCTGCACTCCAGTCTCGGTGACAGAGCAAGACCCTGTCTCAAAACAAACAAACAAAAAAATGAAAAAGCCCATAGTATCATGCTCAGCCCTGTGGCAGAGAACGTGAAGGGCGGGAGGAGGGACGGGAGCCTGGGACCCTGCCATCAGGACTTTAAAAAGGTACATGGTGACTGTTTGTCCTCCTGCTTTTCCTTCTCTTAGGGTGGTTCTGACCCCCTCCTCTGGCCCCAGCGTGTCAGCATCTGCTCGGGGCTGCTTTGTGCTGTTGAGTACCTGCATGGCCTAGAGATCATCCACAGCAACGTCAAGAGGTGAGAGAGGTGGGCTGGACCCTGCTGGGGTCTGAGCAGCAAGGGTGGGACCAGAACCTATTCCTGGCTCACTCCCCCCCACCACTCACCCTGTCTCGTTCTTCTCTCCCTACCTCCTCTCCTCTGCCCTCCCCTGCGTGTCTTTTTCTCTGTTATGCCCTCAAAAATGAGTGTTTCTGGGCTGTGCTCTGAGTCCAGTTGCTCTCAGCATGAATCACCTACCTGTCACCACATTTGTCTCTCTGAGCTGCTGCTTTCCCAGCAAGCCCTCCACACCCTGCTGCATCTCACTGTCCACTTAGCAACTGGCCTGGACCTCATCCTTGAACTTTGGCCCATGTCCGCCAACTCCCTGGGCTTTCGAGCTACTCGTTCAGTGTCTTCTCTGAGACCTGTCCCATGCTTGTGTAGCTGTTGGTGTTAGCATCTTGTCTGGAAGGCTTCCCACAGATTAGGTCTGCACCCCAGCATCTCGGTGCCATGTATGTGACAGGGAGAGGTCCTTGTCTGAGGATGGTTAGGATAGGGAGGGATTCCGAAGATATCAGAAAATCTGGCAGAACTGGCTCCAGAGACACAGAACTCATATTTCCCGAAAGTTCTCTTTCCATTTGATTTGTGGAAGTCCTTTCTTCTTTTCACTCTCCCAGATTTTTTTGTTTTGTTTTGTTTTTTGAGATGGAGTTTCACTCTTTTCACCCAGGCTGGAATGCAGTGGTGCTGTCTCAGCTCTCAGCTCACTGCAACCTTCATCTCCCAAGTTCAAGTGATTCTTCGTCTCAGCCTCCTGAGTAGCTGGGATTACAGGCACGTGCCACCATGCCCAGCTGATTTTTGTATTTTTAGTAGAGACAGGGTTTTCACCATTTTGGCCAGGCTAGTCTCGAACTCCTGACCTCAGGTGATCCACCCACTTTGGCCTTCCAAACTGTTGGAATTATTGGCACAAGCCACTGTGCCTGGCCCTCTCCCCCAGTTTTTATTTGATTGCACCAATAATTATAATAGCAGGCAAGGAAATGAAAGGGTGAGAGAGGTCACCACTGACCTACCCCTACCCTGACTTATCAGCTGGCCTCTAGGTTTTGTTTCTTTTTTCAGCTCCTGACCACACAAATCGTTAGTCTCAAGGTAGCACCTGGGTACCACTTGACATCCCATTTTTTACTCCTTCATTTTAACATAGTAAACATTGCCCTACATTGCAGGGCGTGTCATGTTTTTTAGTGACTTCTTAGTCTTTCCTTAAAGGAATTTGTCCATAATTTACTTAACCACTCCTAATAGTGAATATTGGAATTTGGTGTCTACTTTTTAAAATATTGTTTTTTGGAGTTAGTTCTACAGTAAATATACACACATGTATGCATGTACATGCACACACACACACACACACACACACACACACACACAGCTTTTTTCTGAGACAGGGCCTTGCTCTGTTGCCCAGGCTGGAGTACAGTGACGCAGCCTCGGCCCACTGCAGCCTCCCATCTCAGCCTCCCATCTCAGCCTCCCAAGTAGCTGGGACCACGGCATGCACCGCCCTGCCCAGCTAATTTGGTTTGTTTTAGCAGAGATGAGGCCTTGCTATGCTGCCCTGGCTGGTCTTGAACTCCTGGGCTCAGGTGATCCTCCTACCTCAGCCTCACAAAGTGTTGGGATTACAGGCATGAGCCACCATACCTGGCCTGCACTAAATATCTGTACACATGTGGCTTATATTTTTCCCCTTTTTGAGATATTCTCAGCATTTGCTCCTGTGGGTTAGATGACTTGGTCAAATGATTTTTTTTTTTTTGAGGCAGTGTATCACTCTGTTACCCAGGCTAAAGTGCAATGGCATGACCTCAGCTCACTGCAACCTCCACCTCCCAGGTTCAAGCGATTCTCCTGCCTCAGCCTCCTGAGTAGCTGGGACTGTAGGTGCACACTGCCACACCTGGCTAATTTTGGTATTTTTAGTAGAGATGAAGTTTTGGCATGTTGGCCAGACTGGTCTTGAATTCCTTACCTCAGGTGATCTACCCACCTCAGCCTCCCAAAGTGCTGAGATTACAGGTGTGAGGCACCGCGCACGGCCAGGATGAATTTTTGTTTTTGTTGTTCTTGTTACTTCCCATGATCCAGGCAGGTTTAGTCAAAAAGGATGCTGGCCACTTAGACATGAGTCAGCCGGGCCAGAGCTGGGGGTTGAACAGTTGCGGAAGAGACTGAGTCAGCACAGCCTATAGGCTTGGCAGGCTGAGGATAATCAGGGTTGGCATCTGTGGGGATCGGGGAGGCTGTACCTCTTTGGCCACATTCCTGGGGCAGCAAGACTAATTTGGAGCTCCATCTCCATTTGCTGGAGGGAGTGTGCTCCTGATGCCCTCTCTTCCCCGGTCAGGGCTGGCTCAGAAGCTCCATGCTGAGGGTCTTTGGAGACCCCAACTTGCAGGAGCTGATGTTGCTCTACCGCTTTGTCGTCTACCCAGAGGGTCTCCATGGCAACCTGTGGTTATCCAGCTCAAAATGAGAAGGTTCTCTCTCCTTTTGTTTCCACAGCTCTAATGTCTTGCTAGACCAAAATCTCACCCCCAAGCTTGCTCACCCAATGGCTCACCTGTGTCCTGTCAACAAAAGGTCAAAATACACCATAATGAAGACCCACCTGTTCCAGGCATCAGCCGCATATCTGCCAGAGGATTTCATCCGGGTGGGGCAGCTCACGAAGCGAGTGGACATCTTCAGCTGTGGAATAGTAAGAGCGTCCTGCTCTGCGTAGGCTGGGGCCGTCCTTCCCACGGCTCCTTTGTAACCACAGGGCACAGTAGAGGCACGCAGACACATTCCATCAAAGTATAGCAGGCTGGCAAGCCGTGGCCCACAGGGCTATTTTGTGTGATTTGTGAGCTAAGAGCAGTTTTACATTTATGAAGGATTATATTTTTAAACACAGAGAAGAATATGTGGGCTGGTTGTGGTGGCTCAAGCCTGTAATCCCAGCACTTTGGGAGGCTGAGGCAGGTGGATCATGAGGTCAAGAGATTGAGACCATCCTGGTCAACATGGTAAAACCCCTTCTGTACTAAAAATACAAAAATTAGCTGGGCGTGGTGGCATGCGCCTGTAGTCCCAGCTATTCGGGAGGCTGAGGCAGGAGAATCACTTGAACCTGGGAGGCAGAGGTTGCAGTGAGCTGAGATTGCGCCATTGAACTCCAGCCTGGTGACAGAGTGAGACTCCTAAAAAAAAAAAAATAAGCATATGTGACAGAGACTGAACATGCTTCACAAAGGCTCACATATTTACAGTATGGCCTGTTACAGAAGAAATTTGCCAACCCTTGAAGGAAAACCACTCATGAGTGTCCAGGTTCCAGCATGCTACAAATATCCTCTCCTCACTTCCCTAATTCCCATCCAGCCATCCACTTGTCCATCCAGGTGTCTGTTTGTCCTTGTTTTTTCATTGCTGTCTGATCCATCCAGCCTTTAGCTGCCCATCTATTCAGTGACCATCCTCCCACCCAGCACCCCTCCCCACCACCACCACCATCCTTATCTGCCATTACATCGTGCCAGGAACTAGGAATATGAATGTAACAAAAACATAGTCTCTCCCCTCAGAAGCTCATGGTCTGCATGTAGCAGTCTCCAAAGTATCTTTCTGTAGAACACCAATTCCTTTGGACCTCTAGGATTGATGTGTTAAAAGGGTTTGTGCCCTGATAGGCTTGGAAATACTGCATTGGGCAAAGTCAAGCAGGTTTCTTTACCACAAGATGAATTCAGGATGGTAGGATGGTAATGAGCCTTTAATCTGGTACTTGTGAATTCACCACAGAAGGGGATGCAGTGTCTCCCAAACTCATTCGACTGTGGAAGCTCGTTTTCTCAGAATATCTGTCCTCATCAGTGTTCCATGGAACCCGGTCTGGGAAATGCTGGCTGAGAAGAGTGGCAGTCAGGTTGGCTTCTGCCAAGTGCATACAGCTGCCCCTTGGGCCTCACCCTCTCTTCTCTAGCCTTGAACTGTGCACTTCCTCTCTCTGAACACAGTCTCCTGTCTATCTCTGCCACCATAGCCATAGCCCTGCCTCACCTCTGTCTCATCCGGTACCCCAGATTCTGCGGCCCTGTGTCTCCCAGCTGGTTCCTCTGCCTTCCTCAGCCCCACTGCGAGTTGTTCAGTGAAGCTCAGCAGGGCTAGTCCAGGCTCCTGCTCCTTTAAGAACCAGGGGGATGGAACCCCTAGGCCCAGCTCAGTTACTTTCACTATGTGACCTACACCCAGCACCTGTATCTCTGGGCCTGTTATGCCTTCTGTAAGGGTGGGTTAACCATACATGTGGAGATGAATGGAATGATGTATATAAACTGGTGAGCACAGTACCCTGCACCTACCAAGAATATTATGATGACTATGCTTATTGTTATTCCCACCTTTACACCCTTCTTCTGATACCTGTTTACTCTCAACCTTCTAACTGTGCTGTTGGTGTCACAGATTACTTCCTTATCCATCCATTCACCCTCCCACCCACCCATCCCCCCACGCACCCATCCTCCCACCCACCTACCCATCCATCCACCCACCCATCCATCCACCCTCCCACACATCCACCCATGCACTTACCCACCCACCCACCCACCTACCCAAACATCCACCCATCTGTCCATCCATCTACCCACCGATCCATCCATTCATTGAGTGCCCACTGGCTCCTGCCACCCTTTTGCTAAGCCCTGTCTCTGGTTGACCAATATGCTTTTGAACTTTGGTTCCTCCTGTGGGGAGCACAGTGCATTGCTCAGTGTTTTTTTGATGAGCGCTAAATGACCTCTATAAAGGACTTGACTCAGAGCCTGCCCTGTGGGAAGAGGCACAGGAACTTTTTGTTTATTCATATCTGCTTGTTCCTTCCCTTCCTGGCAGGGACGAGAGAGGAGTCCGTTTTCAATTGACTCCTGTCCTGCTTGCTGCAGTGGTGCCCTCTGCTGCCCCCTTCTGGCCACTGCCAGTCTTATTAATCCTGGGTGGTTTCAAACCTTTTATCTTTTCCTTCCTCCAGGCTTGGAGGGAATCTTGGCGATAAATGGGACCCTATTATGACTTTCGAGAGATGCTGTAGGAGAGAGATTCCATACTAAACGTGGGATATTCATGCCTTTCATATTCACAACTGCTAGTCTCCATTTAAAGATGAGGACACCGACGCTTAGGTTTTAGTTATGTGCTAAAGATCACCTGAGCATGTAAGGAATGGAGTCAGAATTTGAACTCAGGCCTGACTGTAGCGCCCTTAACCGTCATGCTGTTGTCTCCTGAGAAATCTTATTCAAAGCAGGTTTCCTGTTTATTAAGACGTATATCATGGTTTGTCAATTTTGTGGTGACTTACACGGATACAGGGCTGTGCTGGTTCTGCGAGTGGATGCATTAATGAATAAATAATGTTAATAAAGGCCTGAGAGTGAAACATGCTATGGATGCTGTGAGATTTGTCTCGAATAGATACCTGCCTGCACGCAGATGCCTTCTTTCCCTGAGATTGACACAGCAATGCCTGCTTGCCATAGCTGAAGGATTTTTATTTTATTTATTTATTATTATTTTTTTAAACTGGGGTCTTGCTATATTGTCCAGGCAGGTCTCGAACTCCTGGGCTCAAGCTATCCTCCCACCTCTGCCTCCGTAAGAGCTGGGATTATAGGCATGAGCCACAGCGCCCGGCCAGCTGAAGGATTTTTAAACAAAATAATCTTTAAAAAATAGTGTGTATATATGTGTGCATATATCTATATCTGTTGATATCTGTATCTATACCTATATATATCTTATGGTAATACACACAAACACACACATACACAAACATGAATTTTTGAGAACCATCTTCCCTGACTGGCTATCAATTAATTACAACCTCCTACTAGTAGCTAGGTGGCATCTTTAATTGGAGGAGGTGTTTAGTGATATTCCCACGTGGGCAGGTGTGTCTGCTGGCAATGAAGAGTAGCACCTGGAGCTCAGACTTTGCAACTGAGAAGACAGAATCTGCTGCCTGGCCGTGTGCATGAGTGTCTGAACCGTGCTAACTCACGTTCTGTTCTCTCCAGGTGTTGGCCGAGGTCCTCACGGGCATCCCTGCGATGGATAACAACCGAAGACCAGTTTACCTGGTAAGGGAACTTGTCACATCTGGCTGGGTGTTATATTTGGGCCTCACAGCTCTGTGGGTAGAGAGGGAAGTGACCTCACCTCTGGCTAGTTTTACACAGCTAATGAGGCCTGGTTCAAGGTTCCGTATGCATCCCCACAAAGTAGCTGTAACCTCCCATACCCACCTGCCAGCCAGCCATTGCTTTTTCATGATCATAGCATTTGGGGCTTGGTGCTGTGGGTCATGCCTGTGATCCCAGCACTTTGGGAGGCTAAGGTGGCCTGATCATTTGACATCCAGGAGTTCTTGAGACCAGCCTGGCCAACATGGTGAAACCCTGTGTCTATTTAAAAAAAAAAAAAAAACTTACAGAAAAAATCTCAAAATTGTCCAGATGTAGTGGCATGCACCTGTAATCCCAGCTACTTGGGAGGTTGAGGCAGGAGAATCACTTGAACCTGGGAGGCAGAGGTTGCAGTGAGCTGAGATCATGTCACTGCACTCCAGCCTTCCAGCCTGGGTGACAGAGTGAGACTCCATCTCAAAAAAAAAAAAAAAAAGATTAAAAAAAAGAATTTGGAATGTTTACAGAAAGCACACTTCTCTACATATCAGGCAATTAGGGATTTTCCTCAATTTGATAAAAATTTTAGCCCTTTTAAACAAGTTTCTTTTTTTTTTGAGACAGTCTCACTCTATAATCAGGCGCCAGGCTGAAGCGCAGTGGCACAATCTTGGTTCACTGCAACCTCCACTTCCCAGGTTCAAGCAATTCTCCTGTCTCAGCCTCCTGAGTAGCTGGGACTACAGGTGTGCGCCACCATGCCCAGCTGATTTTTGTATTTTTAGTAGAGACGGGTTTCACCATGTTGGCCAGGGTGGTCTTGATCTCTTGACTTCATGATCTGCCCACCTTGGCCTCCCAGAGTGCTGGGATTACAGGCGTGAGCCACCACGCCCGGCCACAAGTTTCTATAATAAAAACAATTTCCACTTTGTAGGCCAAAGATCTGATATACATTGTCATTTAAAAAATATAACAACCTTGGCCGGGCGCGGTGGCTCACGCCTGTAATCCCAGCACTTTGGGAGTCCGAGGCGGGTGGATCACGAGGTCAAGAGATCGAGACCATCCTGGTCAACATAGTAAAACCCCGTCTCTATCAAAAATACAAAAATTTAGCTGGGCATGGTGGTGCGTGCCTGTAATCCCAGCTACTCAGGAGTCTGAGGCAGGAGAATTGCCTGAACCTGGGAGGCGGAGGTTGCGGTGAGCCGAGATCGCGCCATTGCACTCCAGCCTGGGTAACAAGAGTGAAACTCCGTCTCAAAAAAAAAAAAAAAAAAAAAAAAAAAAAAAATATATATATATATATATATATATAAAACAACCTGGCTGGGTATGGTGGCTCATGCCTCTAATCCCAGCACTTTGGGGAAGGCCAAGGTGGGCAGATCACTTGAGGCCAGGAGTTCGAGACCAGCCTGGGCAACATGGTGAAACGCCGTGTCTATTAAACATACAAAAATTAGCCTGGTGTGGTGGCACAAGCCTGTAATCTCAGCTACTTGGGAGGCTGAGGCCGAGAATCGCTTGAACCCAGGAGACGGAGGCTGCAGTGAGCTGAGATTGCACCACTGCACTCCAGCCTGGGTAACAGAGTGAGACCCTGTCTCAAAAAAGAATAAAAATGTAACAACCTAGCCTGACTTTGTATTAAGTACTTTCTATACATTATCTTTATAAATCATCTCAACTTTTCCATGATATTATCATTGTTCATCTGCAGATGAGGAAAGCTGGCTCTCAGGTTGGCCTGGAATCATTCTGAGTCAGATCTCCCTGACCCGAGATCCTGAGTTCTTAACCACAGCAGTCTCCTGCCTGTTTCTTGTGACAGTCCAACCATACAAATTCAGTATTATCATCCCCATTTACAGCTGAGAAAACTGAGGCCAAGCTGAAGTGACCCTCAGTGAGATCAGTGGTGGAACTGGGATTTAATTGAACCCATGGCTTCTGCAGAGTTGCAAATCTCACGAAAGCTCTAGTTTTCTTCATCAGTTTGAGAGGGGCCACCTTTTCCTACTAGATGTTGAGGTCATTGGAACAGGCAGATTTTTTTTTCTGGTGACTGGGCCCCAGAAGGATACCCTGGGCTCTGGAGTAGGAGTAGGGAGGCTGAAGCCTCCGCACTGCATGCAGAAAGTCATGACATGTCCCTTTGCTGAACTCTGTGAGTTTACCCCTTTTGGGCAGTCAACCCCATATGCTGCAGAGAGGTCTGTCTGGGCAGCTCAGATGTGATTTGGGCCGTTTAGGGGCAGTTTCCCATCTCTTGGCTGTTTTCTTGAGATGCATTTCCCAGCAGTCCTCTGGGGCTCCCCAGACAAGTGTCAAAGGAGGCTTTTGAGGCACTAACGTGAAATTGTCTAGATTTTCTTTTTTTTTTTTTTTGCTAATGATTTCTAAAAATGTGGAAAATAATGATTTTTAAAATTTAGTTTATTTCTCTTCCTCTAGACTCTAGTATGGTCTCTTATCATGTTCTGTTGTGGTAAGTGCAATCTGATGGTTAATCAAGATTTGAGTCAGGGAGGAAAGCTTGCTGACTTCCTGTGGCCCAGGCTAGGAGGAAGCAGGCCTCCCCCAGGCTCGGGAAAGTGTTAGTTGCACTTTCACGGTGTTTCCTGAGGGGATTTGATGGTTTCCATCAAAATTAAAAATATGAGTACCCTCTGTTTGTGCCTAGAGAAACATGCAGATAGGTGAGGAGAGACACATGAACAAGGATATTTGTAGTAGCATATTTTTTTCAAGACAGAGTCGCCCTCTGTCGCCCAGGCTGAGTACAGTGGCGTGATCTTGGCTCACTGCAACCTCTGCCCCCGGGGTTCAAGCGATTCTCCTCCCTCAGCCTCCCCAGTATCTGGGATGACAGGAGCATGTCACCACACCCAGCTAATTTTTGTATTTTTTTAGTACAGACAGGGTTTCACCACGTTGGCTAGGTTGACTTCGAACTCCTGACATCAGTCAGGTGATCCACCTGCCTCGGCCTCCCAAAGTGTTGGGATTACAGGAGGGAGCCACTTTGCCTGGCCAAATTTAATTTAATTTGATTTAGACAGGGGTCTTGCCCTGTCACCCAGGCTGGAGTGCAGTGGCATGATCATAGCTCACTGCCGCCTCGAACTCCTGGGCTCCAGGGATCCTACCACCTTAGCCTCCCGACTAGCTGGAATTACAAGCATGAGCCACTGTGCCTGGGATCTGACAGGGTTATTGAAGGTTAAATAACGTGTGAGATGCATAAAATAATGACTAGAACATAATAAACATAACGTATGTTAACAATTATTATTATCATTGTTATTTGAGATAAGGTCTCTGCCAACCAGGCTAGCATGTAGTGGTGCAATCATGGCTCACTGTAACCTTGAACTCCTGGCCTCAAATGATCCTCCCACTTTAGCCTCCCAAGTAATTGGGACCACAGGCACGTGTCACCACTCCTAGCTAATTTATATTTTTATTTTATTTATTTATTTTTTATTATTTTGAGACAGTCTCACTCTGTCGCCCATACTGGAGTACAGCAGCACAATCTCGGCTCACTGCAGCCTCCACCTCCTGGCTTCAAATGATTCTCCTGCCTCAGCTTCCCCAATAGCTGGGATAACAGGCATGCAACAACATGCCCAGCTAATTTTTGTATTTTTAGTAGAGACAGGCCAGGCTGGTCTTGAATTCCTGATGTCAAGTGATCCACTTGCCTCAGCGGCCCCCCAAGTAACTGGGACCACAGGCATGTGCCCTCACACCGAGCTAATTTTTTATTTTTTTTTTAAAGAGACGGGGTCTCCCTATGTTGCCCGGGCCAGAGTGTGTTGGTTATTCACAGGCGAGATCCCACTACTGATCAGCACAGGAGTTTTGACCTGTTCCATTTCCAATCTGGGCCGGTTCACCCCTCCTTAGGCAACCTGGTGGTCCCCCACTCCTGGGAGGTCACCATATTGTTGCCAAACTTAGTGCGGACACCTGATCGGCATAGCGCACTACAACCCAGAACTCCTGGACTTAAGCGATCCTCTCACCTCAGTCTCCTGAGTAGCTGGGACTACAGGCATGCCCCACTGCACCCCGCAATGTTTTTTTTTTGTTTGTTTGTTTTAGATGGAGTCTCACTCTGTCGCCCAGGCTGGAGTGCAGTGGCGTGATCTTGGCTCACTGCAACCTCCGCCTCCCAGGTTCAAGCAATTCTCCTGACTCAGCCTCCTGAGTAGCTGAGACTACAGACACATGCCATCATACCTGTCTAATTTTTTATTTTTAATAGAGACAGAGTTTCACCATGTTGGCCAGGCTGGTCTCAAACTCCTGATTTCAGATGATCCTCCCGCCTCAGCCTCCCAAAGGGCTGGGATTATAGGTGTGAGCCACTGTGCCCAGCCATTTAAAATTTTTAATCTGTAGAGATGAAGTCTTGTTATGTTGTCTAGGCTGATATTGCTATTATTTTAATAGCTCTTAGGATACTGTTTTAATTATTATATAAGTAAATATATAACCAAAATAATTATATCTGTATACCAGAAAGTATTATAATCAAAATTATTAGCAGGGGTTACCTTTGGAGTGTAGAAATGAAGGGAAAGGTAAACTTTTGCCCCCAATTTTAACCACTTATGTTTAATTTTAATTTTTTTTTTTTTTTTGAGACAGAGTCATGCTCTGTCGCCAGGCACCAGGCTGGAGTGCAGTGGCATGATCTCAGCTCACTGCAACCTCCGCCTCCTGGATTCAAGCAATTCTCCTGCCTCAGCCTCCCGAGTAGCTGGGACTACAGGCACACGCCACCACACCCAGCTAATTTTTGTATTTTTAGTAGAGATGAGGTTTCACCATGTTGGCCAGGAGGGTCTCGATCTCTTGACCTCGTGATCCACCCACCTCGGCCTCCCAAAGTGCTGGGATTACAGGCATGAGCCACTGTGCCCAGCCAATTTTTTTTTTTTTTTAAATGGAGTCTCCCTCTGTGGTCCAGGCTAGAGTATAGTGGCTTGATGTTGGCTCACTGCAACCTCTGTCTCCCAGGTTCAAGCAATTCTCCTGCCTCAGCCTCCCATGTAGCTAGGATCACAGGTGTGTGCCACTATGGCCCAGATAATTTTTGTATTTTTAGTAGAGATGGGGTTTTGCCACATTGCCTAGGAAGGTCTCAAACTCCTGAGCCCAAGTGATCCTCCTGCTTTGGCCTCCCTAGGTGTTGGGATTATGAGCGTGAACTGGTGTGCCCAGCCAAAAGTTGCTTTTTAAAGCTGTTTAGTTTGAAACTAGACCCAAAGAATGTCTGTATATTACTTTGGTTATGTTTCTTTATTTTTATTATTATTTTTTCATTTTTTATTTTTGTTTTTATATGGAGATGGGACCTACGCTTTTTTGCCCAGGCTGGTTTTGAACTCCTGGGCTCAAGCATTCTGCCTGCCTCAGCCTCTCAAAGTGCTGAGATTATAGGCGTGAGCCACCACACCCGGCCATGGTTATGTTTCTTAAAACTCTTAACCTCTCACAACCTCTCCTGCAATGCCCTTTTTCATTTTGGATGCTGTTGCATTTTCGCATAGAATGGGTCATTTGCCTTATATAGACAGACTGTCTCACATCCTGGGTTTTGCTGATTACATCCTGTGGTCTCCTTTCCTTGTTTCTCTATTCCTCGTATTTCCTGTATTTGCCAGTTAACCGTTGTGACTTGTTTAGAGCCATGATCAATGCCTTTGTCAAGAACACTCTTCTTGGAGGCGCTGTGAGCCTTCCATTGCTTCACTACACAGGGCGCGTAGCTTGTTGTCCTACTTTTAGTGCTAAGACTGATCAATGTGTTCAGGTTTTGGTGCTAAGATTGATCAGTGGTTTCAGGTGGAGCTGTGAACTCCTTCATGGTGAAGTTCCCCCGACATCGTTTAATCATGGGTTCTCAGTACCCCCAACCCCTGTTTAAACAGCAGGTGTCTTCAGTACTTGCTTTGATGATCATCATAGTCTTTGCATGAAGAGACATAGCAATGATGGTAGGTTTCCAGTTGGAGCAAATTGTGAGACCCTGCCTCTAGAAAAAAAGAAAATAATAAACTTCTGCTGTTCTTGATGATCAGTTTTAAACACTGGTACATTTTAAAAAAGATAAACATTTAGGTTGGCCACAGTGGCTCACACCTATAATCTGAGCATTTTGAGATAATAAGGCAGGAGGATTACTTGAGCCCAGAAGTTCAAGACCAGCCTAGGCAACATATTGAGACGTCATCTCTACAAAAAATCAAAAAGTTAGCCAAGTACAGTGGCATGTGCCTGTAGTCCCAGCTACTTGGGAGGCTGAGGTGGGAGGACTGATTGAACTGAGAAGGCTGAGACTGTCATGAGCTGTGATTATATCACTGTGCCTGGACTATTTTTAAGAGTTTAAATGCAAAACCAGAATATAGAGAAAGTGGTAAATATAGGAAATTATGAAAAATAAAATAGAGGGTTGGGCATGGTGGCTCACGCCTGTAATCTCACTACTTTGGGAAGCCAAGGCAAGAGTATTGCTTGAGGCCAGGATTTTGAGACCAGCCTGGACAACATAGTGAAACTCTGTCTCAACAAAAAATACAAAAGTTAGCCAGGCATTGTGGTGCATGCTGATAGTCCTAGCTACTCTGGAGGCTGAGGCAGGGGATTGCTTAAGCCTGGGAACTCGAGGTTACAGTGAGCCATGATCATGTCACTGTACTCCAGCCTGGGAAACAGAGTAAGACCCTGTCTCTAAAAAACAAAAAAAAATGGAAATCACTCCCAAAGATACAACTATTCATATTTGGCAACCTGCCCGCTGGTCTTTATTTTGTGTATGTATATATAGAGATCGTTTGTATTACTTATATATTTACATTTTATTTACAGCATGGATTTTCATCAGATTTTTGTATCGTATGTGGATGAAATATGTAATATATGTAATGCATATAGCATATAGTATGTAACATATAAAGTACATTGAAATACTTATAGTTATTTTACATGTGAAACCATATAAAATACTATATATTTTATAATATATAGTTACAAATATGCACATCTATGACTTTTTATTTTATATTTTAATTTTTTTGTTTACTTTTTTTTAACACATTGGTATTCTCTGCAACTCTAGCCAAAGATATAACATTATTTTAAAAGTATACAAAACATTATATATGACAAACATGTATGAATGTATAAAAAATTATATATAAATGTTATTTATACAAATATACTATATTTCACATGTTAATGTAATTATATAATAGATTAATAACACTATAACTGTCAATAGTATCCATAATTATATTACATATTAATTTTCTTACAATATATTTAACTTTTAGTATATTTAAGCTTGCTCTTCTCTCTCTCTCTCTCTCTGTGTGTGTGTGTGTGTGTGTGTGTGTGTGTGTATATACATATATATATATAAGTTTGTTTTTTTTTCCCTGAGACAGAGTCTTGCTCTGTTGCCCAGGCTGGAGTGCAGTGGCACTATCTCGGCTCACTGCAACCTCTGCCTCCCCAGGTTCAAGCAGTTCTTGTGCCTCAGCCTCCTGAGTAGCTGGTATCACAGGCGCATGCCACCATGCCCAGCTAATATTTTTTGTATTTTTAGTAGAGATAAGGTTTAACTATCTTGGCCAGGCTGGTCTCGAACTTCTGACCTCAAGTGATCTGCCCACCTTGGCCTCCCTGTAAAGGGATTACAGGTGTGAGGCACTGCACCTGGCCTACAGTACATTTTTTTACAATATTGAACACAGTGTATTTGTAACATTTATATATATGCTAATCATATATACCATATTACTCATGAAATATATAACATATAACATATTAAATATACTTACATATTTGTATAAAATTATTTATATAGCATATATTCTATTGTATGCATAGTTCAGATCCCTGCATTTTATGTCATACAAAATATATGTAAATACAAAACATATAAAAAGTATCAATAGACATAATATTTTCTCTATAGTGGCTCTCCTGTTACGTATACATAGGTCAGAATCCTATATTTGAAATGTTTATATCATAAGAGATTGTCCATGTATTTGTTAATAAGATTATGTAAGTGCTCATCATGTAGTAAGTACCATATAAATGGTAGCTATTGTTACTCTTAGTTATTATCATTAAAATACTATTGAATATTCCGTGTCAGGTGTTAGTCTTTGTGCATTAGGTGCACTGTTTCATTTAATGGTGCGTTAGTCCTAGGTGTAGTTATTTTATGTTTTTTTAAAGACAGAATTTCCCTGTCGCCAAGGCTGGAGTGCAGTGGCGTGACCTCCGCCCACCCTCCCTCTGGGTTCAAGCAATTCCTCTGTCTCAGCCTCCCTAGTAGCTGGGATTACAGGTGCCCGCTACCACAGCCAGCTATTCTGTATTTTTAGTAGAGACAGGGTTTCGCCATGTTGGCCACGCTAGTCTCGAAATCCTGACCTCAGGTGATCCACCTGCCTCGGCCTCCCAAAGTGCTGGGATTTCAGGCATGAGCCACCACGCCTGGCCCTGGTGTAGGTATTTTTGTTCCTATTTTCCTGATGAACCAGCCGAGGCCTAGAAAAATTAAGAACTCGCATTTGTGACATGAGTTCACTATGGAGTGTCCTGTGCATGTAAGAAATTGAGTCCTCCATTTCTTGGGTGTTTCACTTCTTTCTGAAATCCTTGCATTTATTCTTACAATGTCCTGTTGCTTTCCCGAGCATATTTTGCAGCTCTGGAAGTGAGTGGGGCGCGTCAGTTGGCTCTCGCAGACCTGCAGCTCACACAAGGGCGTTTCCACCCTTCTTCCCACAGAAGGATCTTCTCCTCAGTGAAATTCCAAGCAGCACCGCCTCGCTTTGCTCTAGGAAGACGGACGTGAAGAAGGTGATGGCAAAGGAGATCTGCCAGAAATACCTGGAGAAGGGCGCAGGAAGGCTGCCAGAAGACTGCGCCGAGGCCCTGGCTGTGGCCACCTGCCTGTGCCTGCGGAGGCGCAACGCCAGCCTGCAGGAGGTGAGCCTCGCTGGCAGCGGCCTAGTGCCTGGGCGCGCGGGTCCGCCTCATCCGGACGGCCCCTTCACAGAGGCCTGGTGCACAAACCAGGGCTGTGTTCGCTTGCAAACAGCAGAACTTCCCGAAGCTCTCATCAGCCACAGGCCGTATAGGGATGGATTAGTGGGGAGCCTAAGGACAGGGGAGGTGCAGGGCCTCAGGGCGCAGGACCAAGCCCGCGGGTGTTAACAGAATTCTCTGTGAATTGGCTTTATTCCCCCTTCCCTACAGGCGCCTTCTCCTTTCCTCTGTGCTCTCTGGTATGGAACGGCTCTGCCCGCAGGTTATAATGGAGAGAATGAGCCTCCACCCTGTGTCCCACGGCAGAGGGAGAACCTGATTGGCTGAACTCAGGTCAGGTGTCCACTGCTTGGCTAATCAGGCATGGTGTGGCGGGTCCAGCATGAAAACTTGGCTGCCCAAGGCTCCCTCCCTGGATGGTGTCCAGAATCTCGCTCTGTCCCCTAGGCTAGAGTGCCGTGGTGCAGTCTCGGCTCACTGCAATCTCCATCCTTTGGGTTCAGGCAATTCTCCTGCCTCAGCCTCCCGAGTGGCTAGGATTACAGGCGTGCACCATCACACCCAGCTAATTTTTGTATTTTTAGTAGAGTCAGGGTTTCACTATGTTTGCCAAGCTGCTCTAGACCTCTCGACCTCCTGACCCCAGATGATCTGCCTGCCTTGGCCCCCCAAAGTGTTGGGGTTACAGGCGTGAGCCACTGTGCCTGGGCTCACTAAGGGTTTTAAGGAGAGGTAGAACATAATCAGGTTTGTATTCTAAAAAGATCTGTCTCCTTCAACCAATTATTCTTTCAGTAAGACTTTCTTCCCTTCTTGGAGTAGTTTTCAGCTATGTTCAGGCAAAAAAAAAAAAAAAAAAAGACTTTAATCCTTTTATTCATCCCATTATTTTCTTCAATGTATCACTTAAGGTGGAGGTGAAACTGCTATAACAGGGAAACTGCAAAATGCAGTGGTTTAAACAAGATACATGTCTGTTCTCTTTAGTGTAACAGTTTGAATTTACCCAGTCCAGTGCTAATGTGGCAGTACCATGGTATTGGGGACCCAGGATCCTTCTATATTGTTGCTCTGCTATACTTACCATGTGGCTTCCATTTCAGGGTCTAAGATGGCTGCTCTCACCCAGGCCATCACACCAGCATTCCAGCCAGTGAAAGGGGGTTAAAAGAAAGAGGTGGACACACTCCCTTTCTTTTAAAGATGTGATCTAGAAATGCATTTTTCTCACATAATGGAGAGCAGAACCTAGTTACATGGCCTCATCTAGCTACAAGGAAATGCAGTCTTTAGCTTGGCAAATATCTACTGTAAAGATTTATCTTAAGAAATAACATGTGACCTGGGCCTTGAAGGATGAGAGAGGGTTGCCATGTAGAATAAATGGGATAGGGCACTTTAGGTGTACAAAGAGGTAGGAGACAGCCTTTGCTCTTAGTAGATCACAACCAAGCTAGGAAGATGAGAGACCAGCTGGGTCAGAGACCAGACGATAAGCAGGCCTGGGTTTGGTGGTCACCTTTGCAATTTGGTGGACTGGCTGGGTGGCTTTAGGCAGGGAACTCTTCTGACCTTTTAATTTTTTATCTATAAAAGCTCATGCATTGTGTATGAAATGGATATATTAGTATACTGAATTTTTTGCAAGGCACTGAGATGAAATTTGTTATTGTTATTACGGGTATATGTGTGTGTGCTTTTGTGTCAGTGTGAAGAAGAAACATTCCTTCCTTGCTTCCCTCTAATTTTCCTAACCTCCCTAACCAGAAAAACCTTCCAGGGCAAAATCTATATTATTTGTGTTTTTCTGATTGAAAGTGTTAGGAGCTTAAACTCTTACACACACACTCTCTCTCTCACACACACACACACCCCCTACATGTGCACACACACACAGACAAAGGGAGAGGGGAAGAATATGAATGAGTGAATTAGTGAATGAAGGAACTTAGTGGCTCATTTAAGCAAACAGCAGAGAGGACAGGCATTGCTTTGGTTTCAGTGAAGTTAGACCCAGGGTCTCAAACACCACAGGTACAGCCATCATGTCTCTGTGTCTGTGGCTTTCTCTCTCCCTGTTGCTTGCCTCTTCTTTATTCTGTGTTGAGCTTTCATTTTCTTCCACTGTAAATGGGTTTTCTGAGTGTGGCGGGGCATCTGGTTCTACCACTAGAAAGGAAAGGCTGGAGGTCTTTCCCCAATAAGCTCTAGGTGGAAAAGTTTCAGGGAAGGATTCTGATTGGCCTACTTGGATCACATGCCCAAATGTAGACTAATCCCTGTGGCCAGAGGAGTGGGGTACTATGATCAGCCCATGTTGGGTCATGTCGTTTCATCTATGGCAGGGCAGGTGGTGGGCAAGTGCAGGTCTTTTCAAAGGAATGGTGCCGCTTTTTCAGACAAAGCAACCAACATTTGGTTCTTCAGTCTGCCCCTGGCCCCCTCTTTGCTGGGAGGCCAGGTGTTAGTATTTTTATTTCAGAGAGAATTCCTGATGAACTCCCTTATCCCTCTTCTCCCAAAGGTGCGTGGCTCTGTAGCTGCTGTTGAAGAGCGGCTCCGAGGTCAGGAGACCTTGTTCCCTTGGAGTGGGCTTTCTGAGGCTACAGGCTCTTCTTCCAACACCCCAGAGGAAACAGACGATGTGGACAATTCCAGCCTTGATGCCTCCTCCGTGAGTGTGGCACCCTGGGCCGGGGCTGCTGCCCCCCTTCTCCCCATAGAGAATGGGGAAGGAAGGCTGCGGGCCATCGTGGGAAGGGAGGCCGACTCCTCCTCTGAGGCCTGCGATGGCCCAGAACCTCCCCAGGATGGTAAGCTGGAGGTCGGAGTGCATATAGATGCTCATGTGTGTCCCCCCAACTTCAGGCCATCATTTTTTCTTTCTGTTACCCTCATTCACTCCTTCATTTGGTTATTCAGCCATTCACCAACCAGCCAGTTTTTCACAGAGAAACCTCGGAGGCATCCTTGACACCTCCCTTTCCTCACTGCCCTGGACCATGTCCAGTCAATCACCCAATCCTGTCCATTTGCCTCCTAAATCTTTCTCACCTCCAACTACATCTTTCTCTGCATTCCCTCTTTGTCTGAGCTTCTGTCCTCAGGGGATTGCACAGCCTCCCAGAGTTCTCCTCCATCCATTCTGGCCCCTCCCTCACCAGGTCCTTCTCCAGGAGCCAGCCAGAGTAGCTTTTAAAAACACAATGTGGGCCAGGCTTGGTGGTTCACGCCTGTAATCCCAGCAATTTGGGAGGCTGAGGTGGGTGGATCAGCTGAGGTCAGGAGTTCGAGACCAGCCTGGCCAACATGGCGAAACCCTGTCTCTACTAAAAATAAAAAAAATTAGCTAGGTATGGTGGCGCGTGCCTGTAATCCCAGCTACTCGGGAGACTGAGGCAAGAGTATAGCTTGAACCTGGGAGTAGGAGGTTGCAGTGAGCCGAGATCGCACCACTGTACTCCAGCCTGGGTGACAGAGCAAGACTCCATCTCAGGAAAATCAAAAAAAGATACCTTCCATTCCTGCCATTCAGGTCCAAGGATACCAGGTTTCTTTCTGAAATAAAAAAAGTAGGAAGGCCCCTTCAATGCAGTGTCCCTGTTCCTTAGTAAACATGGTTCAATGAGTGTCCCAGGCTCTGATCACTCCTGGTTCTCCTTTTACTCCTCCTGCCATGGGGAGGGGAGAGGAAGAAGAAAGACAGGATGTGAACATTTTTTTCACTCCACCTTCCCAGCCCTCAATACCATAAAGAGGAACAGGGAAACCCTCTTCTTTCTGGAAGGTCAGGGTAGGTTTTGGGGCTTCCTTCAAAGGTAGAGGTGATAAAAATGCTTATTACCACTGGGCACAGTGACTCATGCCTGTAATCCTAGTACTTTGGGAGGCTGAGGTGGGCAGATTGATTGAGCCCAGGAGTTAAAGATCAGCTTGGGCAACATAGTGAAAACCCATCTCTGCAAAGGATGCAAAAATTAGCCAGGTGTGGCTGATCAGGCCTGTAATCCCAGCACTTTGGGAGGCTGAGTTAGGTGGATCCCTTGAGGTCAGGAGTTCGAGACTAGCCTGGCCAACATCATGAAACTCTCTACTGAGAATATTTGTATATAAAAAATAGAAAATTAGCTGGGTGTGGTGGCGCACATTACATCTATAATCGCAGCTACTTGGAAGACTGAGACAGGAGAATCGCCTGAACCCAGGAGACGGAAGTTGCAGTGAGCAGAGATTGCTCCAGCCTGGGCAACAGAGTGAGACTGTCTCAAAAAAATATATTGGCTGGGTGCAGTGGCTCAGGCCTGTAAGCCTAGCACTTTGGGAGACTGAGGCAGGTGGATTACTTAAGCTCAGGAGTTTGAGACTACTCTGGGCAACACTGTGAGACCCCATCTCTACTAAAATGCAAAACAATTGGCTCGGTGTGGTGGTATGCACCTGTAATCCCAGTTACAGGTATTGATCGACTTACCACCTATGCAACTTATCACCATTAGACTTTACGACCACAATCACTAGCCATGACTGCTCCGTGTCTGGCAGCGCAAACGTTGCCCAGCTGGGCGTACGACAGTGCGGACCAGCTTCCAGCAACACTACCATCTCCGCGTGCACCATTTCAACTGTACATATAGCCTACTCAACTTACGACCAAATCGTGTTACGACTGGTCCGCGGTCCCAACCGTGGTCGTAAGTTGAGCACTAGCTGTACTTGAGAGGCCGAGGCAGGAGAATTGCTTGAACCTGGGAGGTGGAGGTTGCATTGAGCAGAGATTGCACAATTGGGTTCCAGCCTGGGCAAGAGAGTAAGACCGTATCTCAAAAAAAAAAAGAAAGAAAGAAAAGAAAGGAAAGGGGAAAAAAGAGAAATGCTCATTACACTCAGGGCCTGATTCAGAAACCTGATTTAAGTGAATCTAAGAATTATAATGATGGTAGCTTTCATGCAAGTTGCTCTTCTTTCCTTTCTGTTAAGCATCAGCTACAGAGACTTCATGGCAAATTGAGATCAATGAGGCAAAAAGGAAACTGATGGAGAATATTCTGCTCTACAAAGAGGAGAAACTGGACAGCGTTGAGCTCTTTGGCCCCTGATGACTGGCACACAGCTGAGGACACTTGTCCTTAGTTGGAAAGATGAGCATCAGATCAAGAGAAAGGTCTGAGGCAGAATCCAAGACCTGCCTGGAAATACACAACAAAACCTCAGCTCTCCTGGGTGGGAGGGAAACTTCATTTCACTGGAATGAGTTGGGAGAGAAGGGCCCTCAGCTTTTAGAGACACAAAAATCCATGAAGCCTCTTCCTTTCTGGGCTTTGTTAGCTAGTGCAGGGGATCAGAGGAGAGTGAAGCAGAAACCCTGTACACGGGCCCAGGATGTGGGTGATTTTGTGGTACCAGGGACTGTGTGATGGTAACCACCCCTGCAGATTCCATTACCTCAGCAGCTCCTGTCCCCCCACCACTGGCGGAGCATTCTGCAATGCCATAGCATTTTCTGGAGCTAAGATCTCTGGGTCGTATTTGCTGACAGCCTGCAAGCTTTCATGCTCTGAAAGACTTTTTTTAGTTTTTATTTTTATTTTTTTGTAGAGATGTGGTCTCGCGGTGTTGCCCAGGCTGGTCTTGAAGTCCTGGGCCCAAACAGTCCTCCCACCTCGGCCTCCCAAAGCGCTGGGATTACAGGTTGGAGCCACTGTACCTGTTCTGAAAGACTTTCAACTTGTGTCTCAGTGCAGTTCTTGACTCACCTCTCCAGGTCTCAAGTTCTACAAATGGCAGACACCTGGTGAAGCACTCTACAGGCTTTCCACTGCCTGTATTGGAAATCTTGCAACTCACATATTTATTTAGTCACTGCCTGGCACCTTTATCTTCCCATCCCACTAATATTAGTGTTTTTTTAATGGAGCTTTTATTTTGTTATTTTTTTTGAGACAGTCTCAGTCTCTTGCCTAGGCTGGAGTGCAGTGGTGCGACTTCGGCTCACTGCAAATTTTGCCTCCCAGGTTCAAGCGATTCTCCTGCCTCAGCCTCCTGAGTAGCTGGGACTATAGATGCCCACCACCATGCCTGGCTAATTTTTATATTTTTAGTAGGGACGGGCTTTCACCATATTGGCCAGGCTGGTCTCAAACTCCTGACCTCGTGATCCACCCACCTCGGCCTCCCAAAGTGCTGGGATTACAGGCATGAGCCACCACACCCACCCAAGAATATGTGTTATTTATAACTGAATGAAGAATCAGGAGACTGCATTTCATGTCTGATTCTGCTGCTAATTAAGTCAGTCATTTAGTTTTTGGGACCTCAGTTTCTTTGTAAGTAAGATAACACCTGCTTGTTCTCCATCCCTGGGCTGTTGGGAGGAACAGAGGAGACAGTGGCTATAGAAGCGCTTGGAAAATGCACTTGTCCTGTTTTATAAAATAAAAAGGTATTAAATGTATATTTCTGCCATGTACCTAATGATTATTCAGTGTGTATATATCTGAAAAGTCATGTTGCATATCTTTTTGTAAAACAGATGCTATTTTAAATTCACTGGGAGAAATGTCCTATTTAAAATGATTCTATAGTGATATCTTTTTATACAATAAAAATATGTTTGTAAAGTCAACAGACAACCTGTAATTAGTTTTGTGTCTAGAAGAATTTGTTTAGAGAAGGCGCTCTGCATCCTTGAGACGGGGTAGCCGAGAGCTAGCTAGGATCCTGGCTCTCACTGTTGACTGTGAATAGCTACATGATCCTGAGCCCAGGTAGGGAGTTACTGTGAGGCTCTGCTTCCTCATCTGTACACTGCGAAGAAAAAGTACCCATCTCATAGGCTTGTTGTCAGGGGTAGGTCCTGCCTGTGGAAAGCATTTAGCAACTCCCCAGTAAGGACGGCTTTGGCTTGATGTGTGATGTAGCTGAACTGGGTCCCAGCCAGGAGGACAATGATCTGTACAGACAGCACTGTCTTCAGCTCTGGTGTCTGTGAGGATTCAAGGTGAATGTGCATTTTGTGCCCTAAACAGGACATGACCTGTTGCAAACACCTTACAATTATAAGCAGGGTGTTTCCAAGGCTGTTTAAGCAATAGAGGGCTGACACTAATAGGTTCCTGGTTATCCAGACATACTTGCATTTCTAGACTAGGATTTCACCTATTTTTGGAGAAGTCAGTGAATCCCTTTGGGATTTGGATGAAAGCTATAGACTTCTGCTCAGCCAGGTATAAATATATACATGCACATTCTGAGTATATGAATTCCAGACAATCACGGGTACTGTGATGTCTTTTCATGAATCCCACACAGGGAAAGCCTGAATTTTTTTTTAGGTTAATAGAGGATTTAAAAATCCAAACAGTACAAAGGTTACATTGTGAGAAGGCAGGCTTTTTCTCATTGTGATCTTAGCCTCCAGTTTTTTCCTCCCAAAGGCAACCACTGTCACTAGGTTGGAGTATCCTTCCAAAGGCAATGCAAAACAGAGGTGATGCTCAACTTAATTAGTTACCAGGGAAACGCAAATCAAAACCTCTATGAGATGCCACTTCACATTCACTAGGATAGCTACAATCAAAGACAGAAACAAGGGTTGGCCACAATGTGGAGAAGTTGGAGCCCGCACACACTGCTGGTGGGAATTGAAAATAGTGAGCACTTTGGAAAACAGTTTGGCACTTCCTAAAAAGGTAAAACAGTCTCCATATGACTTAGCAATTCTATGCCTAGGTGTCTACCCAAGACAAATGAAAACACATCCACACAAAAGCCTGCACACCAAGGTTTATAACAGCATGAATCATAATAGCCAAAAAATAGAAACAACCCAAATATCCATCAACTGATGAGTGGGTAAATGAAATGTGGTCTATTCATACAATGGAATATTACTCAGCCATAGAAAAGAATTAAGTATTGATACATGTTACAACATAGATGAATGTTGAGATGATGCTAAGCAAAAGCTTGTCACATATTGTATGATTCCATGTTTAATTTTGTCAGAATAGGCAAACCTATCAAGACAGAAAATAGATTACAGTCTTGCTGGAATTACAGGAGTGAGTCACCAGGCCAGCTGGTCATACACTATTTTTTTTTTTTTTTTTTTTTTTGAGACAGAGTCTCGCTCTGTTGTCCAGGCTGGAGTGCAATGGCATAATCTTGGCTCATTGCAACCTCCGCCTCCTGGGTTCAAGCGATTGATTCTTTTGCCTCAGCCTCCCAAGTAGCTGGGATTACAGGTGCCCACCACCATGCCAAACTAATTTTCGTATTTTTTAAAAATTAGAGATGGGGTTTCACCATGTTGGTGAGTTTGGTCTCGAACTCCTGATCCTGTGATCCACCTGCCTCCACCTCCCAAAGTGCTGGGATTACAGGCATGAGCCACTGCACCTGTCACTCATACACTTTAAATGAGTGAATTTTATGGTATGTAAATTATATCTCAAAGCTGTGAGAAACAAATACACAAAGTGGTTACCCTCAGGGATTTGAAAAAAGAAAGCCACATTTATCTTTGTGGGCCACTCCTCTCTATTTAGCCACACAAGTATTTCATTCATGCTTTTCTAGGTCCTTTGTTTTTTCACTTCTTTCTTGGCCATTGCTCCTCAACAGTAAGTTTAGATCACTTCATTCTTTTTGCCTTACATTCCATTGTATGGATATTCCTTAATGTATATAACCAGCTCCTACTGATGGAGATTGAGGTTTTGTTTTCATTCCAGCTACTATAGACAATGCTACCTTCCAAGGAGATTGTATCAATTAACACTACAACAAGGATGTATGGGAGTGCATTTCCGCACATCCTTAGCCACAAGGTATATTATCTTGTTTTTTGATTATTCCCAATTTAACGAGTGGAAAATTATAATTTTATACGTACTTTTTAAATGGCTGAGGTGGAGTCATCTTTCTTATGTTTAAGAGCCTTTCATAATTTTTGTTCATTGCTTCCTTTGCTTTTTTTTTTTTTTTTTTTCCTGAGACAGGGTCTCACTTTAACTCTCTGACTGGAGTGCAGTGGCGTAATCTTGGCTCACTGCACCCTGGACTTCCCAGGCTCAAGGGATCCTCCCACTTCAGCCTACTGAGTAGCTGGGACTACAGGCACCCACCACCACACCCGGCTGATTTTTATGTTTCAGCAGAGACGGGGTTCGACATGTTGCCCAGGCTGGTTTTGAACCCTCGGCCTCTCAAAGTGATGGGATTACAGACGTATGCCACTGGACCCGGCCTCCTTCGCCAGTTTTAATACTATGTTATCTTATATTTTGGGAGAGTTGCTACATCGAATATCGGCCCTTTGTCATGTGTTGTAAGGATTTTTCTATATTTGTACCTTGTCTTTGATTTTTTTTTTTTTTTTTTTTTGAGACAGGGTCTTGCTTTGTCCTCCAGGCTGGAGTGCAGTGGCGCGATCACAGCTCACTGCAGTCTGGACCTCCGGGGCTCAAGTGATCCTCCCACCTCAGTCTCTGAGTAGCTGGGACCACGCCCAGCTAATTTTATTTTTTGTAGAGATAGCACCATGTTGGCCAGGCTGGTCTCGAACTCCTGAGCTCAAGCCATCCTCCCGCCTCGGCCTCCCAAGATGCTGGGATTGCAGGCGTGAGCCACCGCGCCCAGCCGTCTTTAATATTTTTCACCAGGTGGATATTCCACATTTTTGTGTAGTCTTTTTTTTTTTTCTTTGGTGGCTTCTAATTCTTCCCCTTTCTGGGTGTCTCACTTGGTCTCTCTGAGCTACAGTTTTCCGCTCTACAATGTCGGGTCATAAGGCTCAGCACACACGGTTTAGCGTGGGTTCGATGAGCGAATCCAGGTATGAAAGCGTCCGGCACAGGGGCGGACGCTGAGGCGAACGGCGTTAGGTGAGTCGAGTCCGCAGACGCCACCTGCCAGCACCTCCGGCTGGCCTCAGCTTCCCGCTGTTCTAGCCCACGTGAGCGGCTCCGCCCTATCTGGCTTCTGACCAATGGACGAGTTTCCTAAGGCTACCGTCCCGCCTCCAAGCCTCTTGGCCAAAAGGCGGGCTCCATCTCTCTCGGAGTCCCGCCCCTTGGCGGATAGAGCAATGGGCGCCTTCCGTTCGGCGCAGGTCCCGCCCCCACCGCTCTCCGGCCTGCGGGCCGCAGGGCTAGTTCCGGAGGGCGGACGCTGAGGAGGCCGTAGTGGTCGCAGCTCAGGCGCAGGCCAGGCGGGCAGGGTTGTAGGGCTGGGGTCGGCGGCGAGTTGCCCGGCGGTACAGCGGCAGCAGCCCGGCAGGCCGTCCAGAGTCGGCAGACGGGGCCGCTGCCAGCTCCCGTGGGGCAACTCGGGCCCCTTCCGGCCCGGGGCTGGTCTGGCCGCAGGAGCTGGGCGGGCTGCGGCGCCGGGTCTGGCCCTGGCCTCCGGGCTAAGCGCCGGGCCCCTGGGCTGCGGGTACGGCAGCCATGTGTGGACCTTGAAGCGCCGTGTCGTCTTCTGAAGCGCTTTGACAGTTCTGAAGGGCTTTATATTGCAAATTGATCAAAGCGCTTTGTAGCCCCGGAAGCGGTTAGGCATCTCCGAAGTAGCGCTGTACAAAGTGAAGCGGTGGGTGATCTCAGAAGCACGTTGTGGGTTTGGGAACCAACGGAAGCCTTTAGAAAATTTTGAATCGTTTTGACTTCTCCAGCACGGTTTGGCATCTCTGAAACCTTGAGAACTGTGATGGGCAGTGGAAAGAAGAGGGAAAGGTCAGTGAAGCCAGCCCCTGGCTCTGCATTTGTGGCTTGCACTCCCCGGGGCCCGGGGTGGCGGGAATCCGAGGTGGGGCGGCCAGGAAGGGTGGTGTTGGAATCCAGGCTCCCTGTACCTTGCAGGTGCCCATGGCGTCCGAGGGGCGCAAGGTCAAGTACAACTGGAGCAGCACGTCGGAAGGGTGTCCCAGCAAGCGCAGCTGCCTCCGGGAGCCCGGTGATGTGGCCCCCTCCAGCCGGCCAGCTCAGAGCTCTGCGTGGCGTTCGGGAGGGCCCGGCAGCCCCAAGCGCCTGAAAGCCCAGAAGGAGGACGATGTGGCTTGCTCGCGGAGGTTATCCTGGGGCTCATCCCGCCGCAGAAATAACTCCTCTTCCCCCCGTTTCTTGGGCCCAGGTGTGGGCGGGGCCGCCTCCAAAGGCTGCCTGATTCGTAGCTCTCGGGGTTTCCTGTCGTCGTCAGGGGGATCCCCTCCGCGTCCTGCCAACGCCTTTCTAGAAGAAATGGCTTCTCTAGAGGAGGAAGCCTGCAGCCTTAAGGTAGGTGGGTGCCACGCTTTGCAATCGGTGAAGCCCCTTCCACGTGGCTTGCGAGGTTGGGGATGGGAATTCTGGCGGGGGGAGACTCTAATAAAATTATCACATCCTGGAAGGTCTGGAGGATCTTCTTAGAAGTCCACTCCACCCAAACTTGAAGACCAAGCAGTCTTCAGGGCGTGGCCTGAAGTTTTAAGTACAGAGGTAGTTTTCAAACTCGGCAGCACTTTGGAACTACTTGGAAAGCTTTAAAATACTTGGGCCTGCCTTTTACCCCGGAGAAACTGATTTATTGGGCTGAGGTGTGCTAGGCTTCCAGATTTTTCAATGCTCCCCAGGTTACTGTAAACGTGCA